GGTCTCTTGGGGCCTCTTGGGGGTCTCTTGGGGGCCTCCTGGGGGCCTCTTGGGGGGCCTCTTGGGGCCATCTTGGGGCCATCCTGCGGCCTCTTGGGGCATCCTGGGGGCCTCTTGCGGCCATCGTGGAGGAAATCGATCAAAGAAGGGGGGGTCCTAAATTTCAGCCCCCCCCTCAGAAGGCCAAAATGGGGCAAATGGGGCCAAAACCCTAGTAAAATCAATAATTTTGGCTTCCTCGCCGAGGTCGTTCTGGGCGCTCCAACGCGCCGCGGAACCCCCTGTCCAGGTCAGTGGGGAGGGGGTAGGGGGAGGGGTAAACCCCTCCCCGAAGGGGAAGAAGGAGGGGTGGAAGAGGAAACTCCTTAAACCGCCGACGCCCTAAAGGGCTGGTGGGATTGGGGGGAGGGGGGGCGTGGTGTCAAGGGTTCCACTTTTTTGCCCATCTGCGGTCCCTCGGCGCTGCGTGCCGGTACTCCGCGCAGGCGTCCTCCCCATCCCCGTCTGGGACGTGCCATGGCCGCGCGCACCCCCCGCCGAGGGCCTCACGGCAGCACCGGCGCGGGCGGAGCCTGTGAGGCCCGAGCCTCCCCATCTAGGGGGCCACGTGCGAACCCTACCCCTACCCCCCACGATTTCTGAGGGGGAGGGCGGGGTCCACTTCGTTCGGGAGCTCCCGAGCGAAGTGGACCCCACCCTCCCCCTCAGGAATCGTGGGGGCAGGGGTGGGGTTCGCGTGTGGCCCCCCACCATGTTCGTTCCGATGCGAGGCGAGCCCCGCTCGGGCCCCGTGCCGATGTGCTCCTCGGCCATGGCCGGCGGCGAAGGGCGACACAGGCCTCGGGGGCTCGAGTGGGGTAGGCTCGCGCTCGCGACTTGGGCATCGGTAGGGGAACAAAAAGTGGCACAAACATAAAAACTCGGAGGTCCGCGCGGATTTCTCGGATCGGCGCTGGACCCCCCTCCCTGGCGCGCGGAGCGCGCCAGGGGCGGCGCCGGAGACGCCGCCGGGGGGCCCCAGCGCCGATCCGAGAAATCCGCGCGGACCTCTGAGTTTTTATGTTTGTGCCACTTCTTGTTCCCCTAAGCGGGGCTCCCCGCAGGTTGAGCAGCTGAACTGCCAGGTGGGCCACCTGGGCGCAAGGCTCACCTTCACCACGTCCACGGGCAGGAGCCCCCTCCCCCCTCCCGAGGGCAGGGTGCGGGCTGGCAGGGGTGAGGCGGTCTGCGGCCGAGCCGGCGGGCCCTGGGGAGGCTTCTCTGTGGCTCGGCATCGTTCGGACGTGTGCATGTTGTCTCGGCGAGGGCCCTCGAGGAGCAGACTGGATCCTCTCACGGAAAGATAAAAAACGAACGCAGTCGAAGAGTGCACGGGGAGTGGAGGTCCGAGCGATGGCGAGATGGTTAGTTACTTGGCTCGTTGGGTGTCCCCATGTTCATCGGGCTCCTTGGGGTCCTTGGTATCCTGCCGCTAGCCTGTGCGCCTATGCGATCTCACACTGTCGACTACGCCTGCGGCGAGTCGCCGCCGCCCCCCGCCTGTTGGAACCGCTTCTCTGCTGCGAAGTGTCGATCGACAGTGCGGCCGCGCTGGTGGACTGCGCGTTCCCCCAGCTGGTGGGAGAATCACGGGGGAACGCGGGGGGGGGGGGGCCGTCTTGGGCCTCTCTCCGGGCTCTTTTCTGGCCTCTGGGGCCTTCTCGGGGGCCTCCTGGGGCCCGCTCGGAACGTCTTGGGGCTTTCTGGGGTCTCGTGGGGCGTTCCTGGGCCGTCTGGCGCTTTCGGAGGCCGTCTTGGACGCCTCTATGGGCCCTCTGGGGGCCATTCCGTGCCCGGCAGTGTTTGGGCCGCCGTGGACTGTCTGGTCTCGGAAGGCATCTTGGGCCGCCTCAGACGCTCGTAGGACCGAGCAGGCGAGAACCCGTGTAACACTGAACAGCCTGTGGCTTCTCAGCCCCGCGGGCCCCAAAGACGCCCCCAGAGACCCCCAAACTGTCCGGTTGAACACGCTGGTCTTTGATTCGGGAGACTCTTCATGGGGGGGGATCCCATGGGGGGATAGGATCCCAGGGGGGTGATCCCATAGGATCCCCTGGGGATCCCATGGGGGAGCAGGAGGGGATCCCATGGGGGGGATCCCCTCCTGCCCCCCCATGGGATCCCCCCCCATGGAGAGTCTCCCGATTGATACGGCACCAGTGGGCACTGTCATCGCAATCGTTCTCTGTTCGTTCCGTCGCACCCCTCGCGAGCTTCGAGGCCCACGGAGGGCCCCAGCTACGACGCTCGCGGGCACGGTTGCAGTCGCCCATCCCGCTGATTTCGGCGCACCCCTCTCGTGCATTTGAGCCCCGCTGGGGGCCCCAACCACGGCGCCGCCAGGCACCGCCGCAATCACTTTGTTTTGCGCATCTCGGCATATTTAGGTTTCTCTCTTTCTCTCTCCGTCTCTTTTTTTTCCTTTCTCTCTCTCTCTCTCGCTCTCTCTCTCTGTCTCTCTCTCTCTCTCTCTTTCTCCATATTTATGTGTATATATATAAATAAATATGTACATCCATGCAAACATGTGTTTGTGGTCACCCCTCTCCCTCTCTCTCTCTCTCTCTTTCTCTCTTTATCTTTCTATTTCTCTTGCACAGCACACACACAACGCGTCACTATTCCCCACAGGGATTCTTATCGAAAGCGACAGTCTGCACGGACACGTGCGCGCCATCTGTGTATTTCAGCAACCTCCCACGGAGGACTTTGCTGTCAAGACAGATCAGGTATCGCAAGCTTGCAGGTCGTAACAAGTAAAGGCATCAAAGCCGATCAAGCCCGAACAGGTCTAGCATGTTCTTGTTCGCATGGTGGTGCTTGGCACAGGCTCCTGACGCGTGTGTCCGTCGCGCTGTGCAGCGGGAAAGAACCATACGCCCCGCGCCATTGGAGTGCGAGAGATTTAGGGTTTCAGCCAAGCTAAGTTGCCGCATGCTTCCCGACGCGGCAGTGCGTCGCCTCGTCTTCACCCTCCGCCCGCCCCTGCCAGATGGAGCCAGGCGCGCAGCCTCCCCGGGGGATCACAGGCCCGCCTCTGGACAGATCGGCACTTTACAGTGAGGGGCTTGAATAAGGAACACTTGCTTTTCAAAAGGGTCTCGGTCGTTCCTTAGGTTTGCATGCGTTATTTCAAGTTCCTTATGCGTTTTGTATCATCTATCGTTCCTCATGCGTTATTCCTTGGGATAAAAAAGGGGCTTCGTTCCTTATTCATCGCTCCTTAGGTCAAGCCGGTGACTGTAGCTTGGGTGTCTTCCCGTGTGATGGTGTCTGAAGACCATCCCTGCCAGCGCCGTCAAACGTAGTCAGAAGGCGTTGGACTTCGGTACTTGCCTGGTCAGCGCTAACGCAGTGCTCGAACCATGGATTTCACCTGCGCGCGGGGGTGTCCGAAATCCAGCACCCCCCTCCCAGCATTGAAGAACGCTGTTTCTGACAAGGCGCCGGTCCACGCGACATTCAACAGTGTTTCTGCATATGTGCGACGAGGCTAGTGGCATCTTCAGGCCGAGCAGCGGGCAGCAGTATTACCTTGAGGCCACCAGTACCAACAACACCAGCAGCATCAGCAACAGCAGGAGGTGCGTAAGGAGTGGAAGGAGAAAGAGAGGACGGCGTGAAACGGAGAAGAGTCACTTTAGAAAATTTAGACGCCCATTGCAGTTTCACTTGTGCAAGGGGCGGTGGACAAACGAAAACACAGACGAACAGCGTTTCCCACGCATGCGTGGTCAGATTTACCCCCGTTCTTCGGCGTGGGCAAGCATCTCGCCCCCCTCCCCCCTCCCTCCCCTGGGGACGGTTTTGAAGCAGTCCGCTGCGATTGGATACTACACCGATCTACAGCTGTCAACGAACATATGGAACACACATGGCAGGGGAACATGTGGCATGGTCTCAGCTTTCAGGCTGAGGAGAGGGGTGGCTGATTCGATACTCGCAGACCTATGATCTAGAGCGAACAGCGTGCAGCTATGCTATAGGGACGCGTGGGTGTTCACTTGGCGCACCGTGGCTGTCTCCTCCAGAGCTCTGGTACGCACCATGCGGTACGTGCACTGGCGAAGGCCGACGGACATGCAGTGACCGGCCGACTCGCCATCAGACCAACTCTTCCCAAAGACACGTGCGGGGTGGCGAGCTGCCCACCGCGAAGCTTCGTCTCCCGCCAGCACCCGCTCGTCCCTCGAGCGACCAGCCCGCCCACATCGCCGCCGCGGAAGTGGTGACCCATGCCGTGGCTCTACCAAGACACAAGACACTGCCGAAGGAAGGCTCTGCGGGCACAGTGGGACAGTGGGATCTCAGGCGAGTTGCGCCCACGTTGCAAAAATGCTGCGCGCTTGACAGCCGCGCTCGTCCTGTTGACAGCAGGGGCCGCTGAGACCGAAACGAACGTTCATTTCAACCGTGCGGGCCCAGTAGGATCTGCGGCCACTTATGGCCGCGTTGCAAGCAGTGCTGCGCACTTGACTGACGCGCTCGGCGGCCGTTGCAGGCAGCGCTGCGCACTGGACAGCCGCGCCCGGCGGCTGACAGCAGGGACCTACGAGGCCGAAGCAAACGTTCGTGCCAACCACGCGGGCCCATCACTGCCACGAAAGTGTTGGCCCATCTCGCGGCCCCACCAAGGGGGGACGCCGAGCGAAGGCCCCAGTGGCAGGCAGGGGCCAGCACGCCGTCGAGCGCCGGAGCCTGCGAGCAGCAGGGCGCCCCCATTTTCGACGTCGACCCCGAGGAGTTTCGAATTCAGATCTGGAGGATGTCCTGGGCGGAACGGAGAGGGGAGCGTGCGGGGGGGGAAGGAGGGGCAGCATAAGGGGGGCGGCGGGGCAGGGAGCGGGGAGAGGCGGTGAGAGGAAGTGAATGGGAGGAGAACGAGAGGGGGAAGGGGAGGAGGCTCCAGACGAGCTTCAGACGCCGCTCCAGGGGCAATGGACTGTGGACAGCTTTGGGGGATGGGCACAAGGACGATCGTCATCGAGGGGCAGTATGGCACGAAGAAGGTCAAGCACCATGAAGAACACGAGGTCGACGTGGGCCAACAGGCGACGAGTTTGGGCCGCCACTGCGGCAGCCCTTTGTTGCTGCCTCCCTCGCCTTGCCCCTACTCGCCATCCCCCTCCCTGTTCCCCTCATCCTCCCCCTCCGCATTCCCGCCTCCGCTCCCCTCGTGCATACTGCACGCCGCAGGCTGTGTATACGCAGGCCCCCTCCCCTGTCTTGTCAAGCCTGTGGTTTCGCGCCCCTTGTCTCCCTCGTCCCTGTAGATGGCAGCCCAGATTTGATCACGAATTGAGTAGGTATGTTACCTACCATATGTGCACTCTAACAGGGGCGTGGGGAAACAGCGAAATCTGTTGCAGCCTTGCCCTCCGGCGCAATTTGGCTGGAAGAAAACGCAGGCCCCGCAACGTCACAAGTCGCCCACCGCCCACAATCCACTTCACGGACTCCCTTCCTCTGCCGAGGGGAGGCTTGCCGCGCCGGAGAGGCAACGTGCGAGGATGAATACCACGGCGCACTTGAAACATGTGATCGCTCTTCCGTCCAGCTCTTTCTACCTGGGTGGTTGGTTCGAGGGTTCCCCCCAAACCTGTCAACAGACGTCTGACAATGGGATCATCATTAGGCGATGCGCCCTTCTGTCGTACAATTCGTTGGGCGTCCACTCGTGATTATCTAATGGGCTTGTGAGTATGAAGCCTATTGGATGTTCGTTGAGATTTCGTGGGAGGCTTTTTTGGGGCCTCTTGGAGGCAATGTGGGCCTGTGGGGGCCGTTTGAGGCCGCCTGGTGCCTCTCTTGGGCCTCTTGGGGCCTCTTGGGGCCTCTTGGGGGCATCTCGGGGGCCTCTCGGGGGCCTCTTGGGCACCTCTTGGGGCCTCCTGGGCCCCCCTTAGGGGCGGAGTGGCTCCGCTTTTCGGCTCGTGTTTCCCTCTCTTGGGCCGCTCTGGGAGCCGTCTCGGGCGCCTCTTGGGCGCCGTCTCGGGGCGCCTCTCGGGCCGTCTTGGGGGCCCTCTCGGGCCTGCGGGAGCAGTCGCGGGCGAGACGTGCCGCTCGCCAGAGGAGGAATAGGCACCCAATACCTCTGCAGGGAAGCTGGGAAGAGTGTCTGGGGCCGGCCCTTCTACTATTTTCAGTTTTTGCCTATTTTCAACGCTGGCCCCGCCCCTATTTTCAACGCTTTTGCTTATTTCCTTTCAACGAAGGTACCTTTAAGGAATTTCCAACTTCTCTACTCTGTCTAGCTTCCCTCTACCCTTCGCCCGTGTTTCCCCCTGCTGTCCCTCCTGGGAGGCCCTCGCCGCCACCGCTGGCTTCGCCTCGGAGTTCTGGTCCGTCCTGGGGGGCACGCCCCGAGGCCCCAAGGGGGTGCACGCGCCGAGCCCCCCGGGAGGTGTGAGCATTTTTCTGGGGTCCAGACGGGGAGACTCCTCCTCCTCCTCCTCCTCCTCCTCCCCCTCCTCCTCCCCCTCCTCTTCCTCCTCCTCCTCCTCCTCCTTCCCCATCCGAGCCACCCTCGTGGATTCGAGCTCCCCGGGACTGCCGGGCCGGTCCCGCACGACCCCAGGAGCGCGTCGAGAGAGCCCAAGGGGACCGCGCTCCAAGATGATCAAGACAACCCCGAAGGCCACATTATTATGATCGTTATCATGATCATCATCATCATCATCATCATCATCATCATCATCATCATCATCATCATCATCATCATCATCATCATCATCACTATTATTATTATTAATAGTATTATTATTATCATTATTATTATTATTATTAATATTATTATTATTAGTAGTAGTATGAGTATTATTAGTATTACTATTATTATTAGTATTATTTTTGTTATTATTGTTGTTATTATTATTATTCGTACTATTTTTAATACTATTGTTATCATTATCTATTAGTATTAGTATTAGTAGTAGTAGTAGTAGTAGTAGTATTAGTATGATTAGTATTAACATTATTATTATCAGTAGTATTATTTATCATTATTATTGTTCGTATCACCATTATTATTACTATTATTATTATTATGATTATTATTATTATTAGTATTATTATTATGATTATTATGGTTATGATTCTGATTAATATTATTGTTATCATTATTATTACTATTATTTCTGTAGTTCGAGAGTCTTCGCCTCCGGACGGTTCCCCCCAGCAGTCTCGGATGAGCCGAAGAGCGCCAGAATGGGGCCCCAGGTGGCCCCAACAGAGCCTCAGGGTGGCCCAGGGCTGCCCCAACAGGGCTCCAAGAGGGCTTCTAGAGCAGCCGGAGAAGGCCCCGAATTTGTCTTGGGGCCGTCTTGGAGTCCTCTTGGGGTAGTATTGGTTTGTCTTGAAGGATTCGCTGGCCGTCTCGGGACGTCTTGGAGGCTTCTTGGGGTTGTCTATTGTCTATCCAAAGAGATCTGAATCCGAAGGGCATCGCCAGAAATCTCATTGGGCGTCTCTTGGAGGCTGCTTGGGGCATTTTGGGCTTCTTGGAGATATTTCCAGGTGCCTGCGGCAAGTCCAGCCCCCCTACTAGCCCAGCATGCTGAGTGGCGACTGTTCGAGGGGGTACGGGAGGCCGTCACGTGTGACACCCCGTGTTTCCAGGCCTGAGGGAGCCGTGATGAGGATGATGAGGATTGTGATGATGGTGATGATGATGATGATGATGATGATGATGATGATGATGATGATGATGATGATGATGATGATGATGATGATGATGATGACGGTGATGGTGATGGTGATGGTGATGGTGATGGTGATGGTGATGGTGATGATGATGATGCTCATGATCATGCTCATGATCATGATCATGATCATGATCATGATCATGATGATGATGATGATGATGATGATGATGATGATGATGATGATGATGATGATGATGATGATGATGATGATGATGCCGCTCTCCCAAGGAGGGTCGCCGCCGAATCGCAGTCGCCCACCGCTCAACTGCATTACCTCGGGGTGCCTCGGCCTGGCGAGCGCGAGCGGCCGCGGCGAGGGCGAGGCGGGCCGAGCTCGGCCTGGGCTCCACCGTTGGAGGGGTGGAGCCCTCTCTTCACTCTCCCCAAGCAGTCCTTTTGCACGCTCCGAGGGGAGGGTGGGGCCGAGGCACGGCTCGACGAGGCCCTTCGCTCTCGTGGGCGACGTGATGACGATGATGATGAGGAGGAGGAGGAGGAGAAGGAGGAGGAGGAGGAGGAGGAGGAGGGCGGTGGAGGAGGAGGAGGGCGGAGGAGGGGGTGGCCGAGGCACGGCTCGACAATCATCACGTTCGTCGTTGGCATCGTGGTCGTAGGTGTCGCCACCACCATTTCGCAACATGCACGACAGACTTGTCCGCGCGGTTGTGTTCCACGCGCCCGTGCGCTCGTTGAGATCATGGCCAGGTAAGCTTTGCCAGCAATCTGCGGGGGGAAGGGTGGGATGTGTGCACGAGTATTGGAGTTGACGACCTCGTGCCCATGCGCCAGAACAATCTTGCCCCTTGCTTTGATCAGTAGCAAAGTGCAGAGCGCTTGCCACTGAGACGGCGTGCCCGCCAGGTGAAGGAGCTGGTCTTCGAAGACAGCCGCCTCGCCGATGTCGTGGCCGACTGAGCAGACCCCCCGCCCCGCCCCGTTGAGAAGCCCATGGGGCCCGGCCCGGCGGCCGAGGGCGCAATAGGATGTTTGCAGCTGGTGGGATCAGCGCGGAGGGCTTCTCGGCAGCTTTGGGGAGGAGAGCGCGCAGACGGTCCTGTGCTCGCCGAGCTCCCCGAGAGGGGCAGGATCACCCCCGCCGTGGCCCCAGAGACCGCTCGTCTTGCCCAGCGCTCGCTGCCTGGCTGGGACTTGCAAGCGGAGGCAGCATACCCAAGTCTGGCGAGATTCGCGTGGGGGGGGGGTTGCATTCAGCCCATCGGTAAGCACATGTTTGGGAATCGGTTGGTGCTGCAAGTTTTGACACTGAAGTTGAAATTGCACGCAGCCCAGAATTCAGCGCGAGTTTGCTCAGAAAGGATCTGGGGCCCCAGTTTGTTTCTTGGGGATGCTGGCAAGATGGTGCATGTTCGCAGCACGCTCTTGATTATATCGCCCAGGCGCTGAGGAGGGCTCTCATTTTCTCAAGTAAGCATCCGTCCCTCCTCCTCATCCGTTTCGTAGCCTTCCCTGTTCATGGTTCCAACAGTACCACGTGGCTGTTTTCCTTTCTCACTGTAGTAGCCCAGTAGCCCAGACAGCACCGCGAACCACCGCGCCCCGCCAGTACCACGCGTTCGCTTGGGAGCCGCGTGGGAGCGCGGCACCTTTCGCAGGCAATACGTATCCCTATCCCTAAGATTGACACGCCAAAAGGCGATGACAATCTTAGGGATTCGCCCTCAAAAAAGAAGGGGATCCCTAAGAGTGGCATCGTGATGAGGAGGTGCCCAGCACAGGGATAGGGATATGTTCCAGGCTGGTAAGTAAAATGTTGTCTGTAAGGGATCGCTCCACTCCCATGCCACGAGCCCTGCTCGGCGACTGTCCGCATGTCCACGCCATGCCGGCACCACGGCTTATCGTCACGACATTTTCTCGCAGCCATGATGTTTCATATGGGAGCGTGCTCTTCCTCAACACGAGCCCTCTCCCAAAGACTCAACTCTGAGCGTGGATTGCCTACCCCGCTTTCGCTTCTAGACAAAACCAAGTCATACCACGCGCCTCCTGGTCAAGCGACCTGACTGGTGCGGGCTGTAGCCTGGTATCGTTTGGTATCGTTTGGAAGCGAGGGTGGTCAAAAGCGAGGTAGGTTCGTTCGCCTCCTATCAACAGCACCACGCCCGACAGGACCGCGCTTCTCCTCCAGGGAGGCCGCGTGGGAACTCGACATCTTACGCAGTCGTTGTTTGTTCCCCATATCCTAACCTAAGGTGGTCTTTGGTTTTGCATCCCCCCTCGATCTCTCTCGGCGGGGAACGAACTCGCCCCCCCGCCTCCTCCCCGTCCTCCTCGTCCTCCTGCTCCTCCCTTCCTTTCTCCCAGAATATTCCATTGCCGGCGACCCTGCACGCAAGGGGATGTGTGAGCATAGTCACAAGATGATTGCGATAGAAATCAGCGGTTGTGGTTGTATTCATAATTGTGGTCGTGGTTGTGATCGTGATTCTAGTCGTGATTGTAGTGGTGATCGTACGCCTAATCGTAGTCGTGCTTGTAGTCGTAATCGTCGGCATATCGTGGTCGTAGTCGTAATCGCAATCGTCGTCGGTGTTGTGCGGCGGGTGCCGCGGAGACCTATTTCCCAACCGTCCGGTGGTGTCGGGTCCTCGCTTTGAAGAGAGAGAGCGCCCTTCGTCGCTCACTCCTTCCTCCTCCCCCTCCTCCCTCCTCCCTTCCCTCCTCCTCCTTCCATCCCTCCTCCATCCTTCCCTCCTCATCCCTCCTCCCTCCTTCCCTCCTCCCCCTCCTCCCTCCTCCTCCCATCCCTCCTCCCATCCCTCCTCCCATCCCTCCTCCCTTCCCTCCTCCTCCTCCTCCTCCCATCCCTCCTCCTCCTCCCATCCCACCCTCCCTCCTCCCTTCCCTCCTCCTTCCCCTCCTTCCCTCCTCCTCTCCTGTCCCCCTCCTCCCTCCTCACTCTTCCTCCTCCTCCTCCCCTCCCTGGCACCCTCCACGCGCTCCGTGGCCTCACAGGGAGCTCCACCGCAGGCCCCCCTTTGGCAGGGTTCGCACGCGGTCCCGCCCCCAATTCTCGCTCCGATGGGGCGGAGCTCGAGCACGGGTCTGCCGGCCCGTGGGCACGAGAGCCGTGCCCGATGGCCAGCCGAGGGGTTTATTCAGGAAGGAAAGAAACACACAGACACAATGATTCGTCGATTTCCAAGAAAATATGGGAAGTGGTGGGGAAGACAAAAACCCAGAAAATATAGGAGAACATGGGGCATCTTTTTATTCGTGTGTATTTATTTGTGTGTCCCAGTTTCCCTTCATTTATACAGCAACCACAGGGAGGTTCACCTGACTCCTGGACCACACGCAAAGGGGGACCTTTCGCCGGAGTGACCTCTGGTGCGGGCCCGATGGGGGCCGCCTGAGCGCCGAACGCGATGCGGGAATAGCGGCCTGCGCGCTTGTGTGTTGGTCCCCCGGCGGACCCCCGAAGCCGCGCACCAGACGCCACTCCTACCTAGGGTCACTCTTACGTGTAGCCGAAGTGAGGCTCACTTGACTCCAGTTCGGCCGTACTTTGGGTGATTTCACAAGCAGGGCGGAAATGCGTGCCCGTCTTTTCCAGCCCTTCTGCCCTTTTGCCGTCGCTGTTTCCGCAATGCTTTTGCGGAAATATCCGCTCGATTATTGCCGACACGGTTTCGCATTGTTGAAGGCGCATTTTGTAGATTATGGCGGATCCACTGTCAGGGTCGGGACGCTTGGGCGACACATTCCCCAAACAGTGTTTGCATTGAGGGATTGTCACTCAGCTGCGTTTAAGGTTGTGGAGGACGATCAATGAAGAGGAAGCGTGTTGCCAAAGAATTCCCAGAGGTCTCAAACACATGTTACACATGTTTTCAGCATGTAAACACCATGCTTAAACCATGTTTAGAACATGCTTCCGACATGTTAACACACCTCTTAAGTTCAACGATCGGACTGTCAGGGTGTCCGTCCTTCCTCTGTTAATTAAAGCTGTGCGCGGCCCGCTTAGCCTTCATCAATGAAGAGGAAGCGTGTTGCCAAAGAGTTCCCAGAGGTTTCAAAAACATGTGTTACACATGACATGTTTTAAGCATGTAAAGAAAACAGGTTCAAACCATGTTTAGAACATGCTTCCGACATGTTAACACACCTCTTAAGTTCAACGATCGGACTGTCAGGGTGTCCGTCCTTCCTCTGTGAACTCACGCTGTGCGCGGCCCGCTTAGCTTTCATCGGAAGAGGCTCGCCCTCGACCCGCGAATCAAAAAAAAAAAACTGTCAGGGTGCCCGTTGCCGTGGCTGGGCGGCCACATGCGAACCCTGCCCCTGCCCCCCACGATTTCCGAGGGAGAGGGGGTGGGTTCGCTCCGCTCGGGAGCTCCCGAGCAGAGTGAACCCCACCCTCCCCCTCGGAAATCGTGGGGGGTAGGGGTAGGGTTCGCATGTGGCCCCCTATGGGTGGGGCTATAGGCGAGCCCCTCCCCCTCGGACATCGTGGGGGGCAGGGGTAGGGTTCGCATGTGGCCCCCTATGGGTGGGGCTATAGGCGAGCCCCTCCCCCTCCGGACATCGTGGGGGGCAGGGGTGGGGTTCGCATGTGGCCCCCTATGGGGCTATAGGCGAGCCCCTCCCCCTCGGACATCGTGGGGGGCATAGGCGAGCCCCCTCCCCCCTCGGACATCGTGGGGGGCAGGGGTAGGGTTCGCATGTGGCCCCCTATGGGTGGGGCTATAGGCGAGCCCCTCCCCCTCGGACATCGTGGGGGGCAGGGGTAGGGTTCGCATGTGGCCCCCTATGGGTGGGGCTATAGGCGAGCCCCTCCCCCTTCGGACATCGTGGGGGGCAGGGGCAGGGTTCGCATGTGGCCCCCTATGGGTGGGGCTATAGGCGAGCCCCTCCCCCTCGGACATCGTGGGGGGCAGGGGTAGGGTTCGCATGTGGCCCCCTATGGGTGGGGCTATAGGCGAGCCCCTCCCCCTCCGGACATCGTGGGGGGCAGGGGTGGGGTTCGCATGTGGCCCCCTATGGGTGGGGCTATAGGCGAGCCCCTCCCCCTCGGACATCGTGGGGGGCAGGGGTAGGGTTCGCATGTGGCCCCCTATGGGTGGGGCTATAGGCGAGCCCCTCCCCCTCGGAAATCGTGGGGGGCAGGGGCAGGGTTCGCATGTGGCCCCCTATGGGTGGGGCTATAGGCGAGCCCCTCCCCCTTCGGACATCGTGGGGGGCAGGGGTAGGGTTCGCATGTGGCCCCCTATGGGTGGGGCTATAGGCGAGCCCCTCCCCCTCGGACATCGTGGGGGGCAGGGGTGGGGTTCGCATGTGGCCCCCTATGGGTGGGGCTATAGGCGAGCCCCTCCCCCTTCGGACATCGTGGGGGGCAGGGGCAGGGTTCGCATGTGGCCCCCTATGGGTGGGGCTTGGCGACCCCTCCCCTCCTCGGAAATCGTGGGGGCAGGGGCGGGTTTCGCTGTGGCCCCCTATTGGGTGGGGGGGTGGGGCTATAGGCGAGCCCCTCCCCTTCGGACTCGTGGGGGCAGGGGCAAAGGGTTCGCATGTGGCCCCTATGGGTGGGGCTATAGGCGAGCCCCTCCCCCTTCGGACATCGTGGGGGGCAGGGGCAGGGTTCGCATGTGGCCCCCTATGGGTGGGGCTATAGGCGAGCCCCTCCCCCTCGGACATCGTGGGGGGCAGGGATGGGGTTCGCATGTGGCCCCCTATGGGTGGGGCTATAGGCGAGCCCCTCCCCCTTCGGACATCGTGGGGGGCAGGGGCAGGGTTCGCATGTTGGCCCCTAAGGTGGGGCTTAGGCGAGCCCCTCCCCCTCGGACCATCGTGGGGGGAGGGGGGCACAGGGGTGGGGTTGGGGTTCGATGTGTCCCCCTAAATGGCCATCCCCCCCTCCCCTCCCCCTCGGACATCGTGGGCAAGGGGCAGGTTCGCATGTGGCCCCCTATGGTGGGGCCTTAGGCGAGCCCCCTCCCCCGTCGGACATCGTGGGGGGCAGGGGCAGGGTTCGCATGTGGCCCCCTATGGGTGGTGCTATAGGCGAGCCCCCTCCCCCTCGGACCTCGGGGGGCAGGGGTGGTTCGCATTTGGCCCGCCTATGGGGTGGGGCTATAGCCGAGCCGCCCCCGGGCGTGACATCGTGGGGGCGGGAGCAAGGGTTCGCATGTGCCCCCTATGGGTGGTGCTATAGGCGAGCCCCTCCCCCTTCGACATCGTGTGGGGCAGGGGCGAGGGTTCGCCTGTGGCCCCCTATGGGGGCTATAAGGCGAAAGCCCCTCCCCCCCTCGGACATCGTGAGGGGCAGGGCAGGGTTCGCATGTGGCCCCCGCTATCGAGCAGCTATAGGCGAGCCCCTGCCGTCCTTCGACATCGTGGGCGGCAGGGCAGGGTTCGCATGTGGCCCCCTATGGGTGGGGCTATAGGCGAGCCCCTCCCCCTCGGACATCGTGGGGGCAGGGGCAGGGTTCGCATGTGGCCCCCTATGGGTGGGGCTATAGGCGAGCCCCTCCCCCTTCGGACATCGTGGGGGGCAGGGGCAGGGTTCGCATGTGGCCCCCTATGGGTGGGGCTATAGGCGAGCCCCTCCCCCTTCGGACATCGTGGGGGGCAGGGGCAGGGTTCGCATGTGGCCCCCTATGGGTGGGGCTATAGGCGAGCCCCTCCCCCTCGGACTCGTGGGGGGCAGGGATGGGGTTCGCATGTGGCCCCCTATGGGTGGGGCTATAGGCGAGCCCCTCCCCCTTCGGACATCGTGGGGGGCAGGGGCAGGGTTCGCATGTGGCCCCCTATGGGTGGGGCTATAGGCGAGCCCCTCCCCCTTCGGACATCGTGGGGGGGGGCAGGGAGGGTTCGCATGTGGCCCTATATGGGTGGGGCTATAGGCGAGCCCCTCCCCCTCGGACATCGTGGGGGCAGGGGCAGGGTTCGCATGTGGCCCCCTATGGGTGGGGCTATAGGCGAGCCCCTCCCCCTTCGGACATCGTGGGGGGCAGGGGCAGGGTTCGCATGTGGCCCCCTATGGGTGGGGCTATAGGCGAGCCCCTCCCCCTTCGGACATCGTGGGGGGCAGGGGCAGGGTTCGCGTGTGGCCCCCTATGGGTGGGGCTATAGGCGAGCCCCTCCCCCTTCGGACATCGTGGGGGGCAGGGGCAGGGTTCGCATGTGGCCCCCCGGTGGCATCCGCAGCGTTCGGGCGGCCGCTCCGCTCCCGCCGGGTGTGCGCCAGCCTGGGCGGCCCGTGCCGCCTCGAGGGCGGGCGCCCCGTGGGCGCTCCAGCCGTTTTTTTGGGGGGGGGGGGGTGCTCCGAGGCTGCGCCGCGTTGCCGCCCGTGCCGCCTCGAGGGCGCGAGCAAGTAAGGTGCAGGTACAGGAACTGGGCGCGAACCGGCCGCGGTTCAAAGACCGTGGAGGGCCGCGCTAGACGCCAACGCGCGCAAGGGTTGAAGGACCAAGGTGCATGGCGCGAAGCGCCAATGCAGTCTTGTATATATATATATATATATATATGTATATATATATATATGTAATAGTTCGCCACGTGGCTTACGCTGCATAGCTTGCAGGTGATGTTTATAGATCACACAGCATAGCTGGCATCACATGGCTTGCATCGCATGGTTGCGAGTGGCATAGCTGACATCACACAGCTTCCGCCTCCAGCTCGCACCACCCAGCTTGCACAGCAGAGTTCACACACGGTTGCTAACACCGCATCGTGTTCACCTTACACCGCATCGTGTTCATTCACCTCAGCTCACGTCATATAGCTTCGACCACATATCTTACACCGCACAGTTGTCGCCTCCACAGTGCAATAACGAAGTGTTTGTGGTCCACGCTGGCTAAGATTTGCCACTGTCTATAAATCCATTGGCTCGGACACGGTGCTCGACCGGGTCCCCCTGCGGGTGCTTTTGGTCGGCGGCACTCCCAGGGGGGGAGGCGGAAGAGGCGGACCTTCTCATCAGAAGCCTCGCTGTCTGAGCCTTCGCCGAAAGCACGGACGGCCTCTCAGCGCTTCACACGGCCTGCTAAGAAGGTTTGCCCCCCTTTTGAAAGCATGGTATTTTTGGGGGTCACATCTCAGCGTTTCGCTTCCGTGGCACTTCGGGACGATGCGGGCACCCCTGGAACGTTACCGGCGAGAAGCAGCCTCTGGAGCGCATTCCGAGGCTGGAAAAAACCGCCCAGGACCGACCGAAAACGCCCGAGAACTTGGAAGCTCGACGCCCTAGCTTCCCCCCCCTCTCACTCTCCCCTATTGGCGCCTTGTCGGAAACTGGAGCATATGCATTACCAGTGGCGGGCTGTTGTTCAATCCCAGGAAGTTTTGAGGGTCGGGGACGACGTCGGGTTGTTGTGGTGTATGCTCGTTTCCCCGTCCTCCCGTGGAAACGACAGAAAATGTATGCGCCAGGATGCCGTATACACCATAACCCGTTCTCCTGTGCGAATCTCCGTGCGGGGCCGGAACAAAAGCATCGGTGTGTAAAGTTCGGTTCCCTACCTTGGGATCTCCCGCTGATCCCTTCCCCTCCGGTGCTGTACAGAGCGCGGGGCCTGCGAACGCCAGCTCGAGACCGTGGCGGTGCGCCCGCCCGCGCAGGCCCGCAGGACTGGCCGGCGTGCTCGAGCACGGGCGGCCGCCCGGCGGAGGTCACAAGACGCGCGCGGAGGACGGCCAGGATCGGGCCAGACGAAGGAGTAAGTCGGGCCTGTCCCCCATACAGTCGGAGGTGGATAGACCTCCTTCCCTGACACGTCGATTCAGGAATCGGCCGTTTTCGGTTCGCGAGAGGGCGCCGCGGCCGTCATTTTTGCAGGTCCAGGTCCGTCGGTTTCGGTCCCAGGCCGTTTTCACTAAGGGGAGGTTTACTAAAGGGAGGTTTGTCCACCGCCGATACAGGGGGGGATTTTCGACGAAACATGAAAAAATACCCCCAAGAATAGTCCAGAAATGGTCCAACCATGATCTGGGGACTATTTTCGGGGTATCGTTTGACCTTTTTGGGGTATCTTTGGGGTATTTTTTTATCTTTCGTCGAATATCCCCCTGTAGGGGGACTCGCCCGACTTAAACGAATGGGTAGGATGTGAAATGGGAGGGGGGGGTGACGCAATCTGCTGCATGCAGCTGGTTTCCGCCCCGCCGCCAGGCCCATTCCTCGGTGCATGGGCGCCTCCCGGCGCCTGGAGGCGCCAGGAAGACCAGCTACGTACTACGTGAGCTGATTCTCTATCTTACCTTTTTGCTATCCTACCATGTCGCCCCCCCCCAAGACGAGAGGCACAGGAGAGCACGGCTTGAAGCGCAAACATGAATTACCGAGCGAGCTTTTCCAGTGTGTTCGTCGGTTCTCGGCGTCTTTCTGGCCTCAGGATGACTTCCATCGGCTGCGCCTCGCCGAGAGCGTTCCGTACTTCGGTTGGTGATCGTTTTCTCATTCATTGCTCTGCCGATCGGCTCGGGCCCTCGCACCCCCCACCATGGAGTAGGTCTTGGCTGTTTTTGGCGCGTGTCTCGAGCAGGTGGACTGAGCATAGGGGCTCCGCCTCCCCCCCACCCTGGTGGACACGCGAATCGCTGTTTCGCGCAGCGCATCGTGTTTTCGGGGCGGTCCTCGAGGAAATGAGAAAGGGGTTCCACGGCGCCGGATGAGTTGTGAACCAGCCCCCCCTGGGGCAGCCAGTTGTTGTAGCCCCCCCCCGTTCGCCCAGTGTCGAAACGCCGAATCTGACTTATGATTGTATCGGGAATGCACCCCACACGATGCGAGAAACAAGTAGGGCGGAAGTTTCCGCCTCAGAAAAGTAGGGCTGATATTTCCGCACAGGTATGGCAGAAACAGCGACGGCAAAGTATGGCGGAAATCGGCATGACATCGGGTTCATAGGGGCTCAAAACGTAGGGCACGAATGTCCGCCCTACTGGCGAAATGGCCCAAAGTTCGGCGGATCCAGAATCGGGATATGGCGCGCGGATTTTGCCGACGGGCCCCCCGCTTCCTTGCAGAACGAATGCGCACCGTCGCCGAATCGGGCTGCATTGGCTTCATGCCTCGGGAGGCGCTTTCCCCTGGCATCGCTCCGACGTGTGCATTTCTTCCTCGGCGGGGATTCTATTAAGGGGCATCCTGGATCAGCCTGCGAGAAAGCCACGCACGAAACCGAACAAAAAGACAGGGAGTGGACGTCCAAGCGACGGGGAGTGCCCCGATCCCTGGATCTGACGCCCACGCGCCAGATCCCTGGATCGGTGATCCATGCTGGCGTGTGACCGCACGGCGGGCCACGGAGGCGCGCTCTTGGGCAGACCTCGCGCGTGCGGTGTCCCCCCTTCTCCCTGCCCCTGCTCCCCTACGGTATCTCCCTCGGCCACCTCTCCTCCTCCTGCTCTTGCTCCTCCTCCTCCTCCTCCTCCTCGTCGTCCTCTCCTCCTCCTCCTCCTCCTCCTCCTCAGGCCACGCTCCTCCTCCTCCTCCTCCTCCTCCTCCTCCTCCTCCTCCTCCTCTTCCTCCTCCTCCTTCCCCCCTTCATCATCCTCTTCCCTCATTCGCCTCCTCCTGCTCCTCTTCACCCTCATCCTCTGTCTCCCTGCCGCCCAGCTCGCTCCTGGCCTCGTCCCTTTCCTCCTCTGCTTCTCAACCCCTCGGGCCGCCGTCTGACGGACCCCTCGACCGCCGAGCGCGCGCGAACCCGCGCCCAGTGGGCGCACACGGCGGCGGACCACTGCAGCTGTGGCGGCAGCGGCGACGGCGGCCCGGGCCAGCAGCGGCAGCAGCAGTGGACGGGGGGGAGAAACCCCACAGCGGGGATATCGACAGGGGGAACGACCTCCTCCTCCTCCTCCTGCTCCTCTTCCTCCTCCTCCTCCTCCTCGTCCTCCTCCTCCTCGTCCTCCTCCTCCTCCTCCTCCTCCTCCTCCTCCTCATCATCATCACCGCTATCCTCGTCCTCATCCTCATCTCCCCGCTCGCGCTGCAGTGCGGGGCGCGAGGAAGGATGAGAACGAGCATGAGGAGGACGACGAGGAGGAGCGAGCGAAGCGACTCGACAAGAGAGTTGAGACCGCTGCTGCGGCAGTCATCACCTCCCACAGGCCCATCCCGTGGCGAGGAGGAACGCGGTGCCTTGTATGCCTCCAGTCTCCCACTCGGGCCCTCCCAAAGCTCGAGTGGCTCCGCACCTCCTGTCCAGGCCGCCCAGCCCATATTCGTGACAGCCGCCACCTCGGTAACACCAGGGGGTTGTGGTGGTGCACAACTTGTGGAGGGTCAGGGGATACTAAGTTCCTCTCCCTCAGTAAGGTTTGCATGCAGCCGACGAAAGCAGGGAAAGTGGCCCTGGATCGTCTCGAGCGACACGAGCTTCCTCCCAATCGGGCCTCGTGGCCAGATGCGTCGCGAGGATAGCCGTCTCCTTTTTCTTTTTTGGGGCTCCCCTGTAAGTAGAGGATCACGCCCCCTATGAGCACTCCAGGAGGAGGAGGAGGAGGAGGAGGAGCAGGAGCAGGAGCAGGAGCAGGAGCAGGAGCAGGAGGAGCAGGAGGAGGAGGAGGAGCAGGAGGAGCAGGAGGAGCAGGAGGAGCAGGAGGAGGAGGAGGAGGAGGAGGAGGAGGAGGAGGAGGACCAGGAGCAGGAGCAGGAGAAGCAGGAGGAGGCGCAGGAGGAGCAGGGACCTGGACAAGGGAAGGGGGCAGGAGCTGACCCCCCAAGACACGCCGCCGCGCACTGCGGGGCCCCCGGTGGGGGACCGCGGGGCCGGGCAGCCCTTGGGCGGGGCCGCAGGGCCCTGAGATCCGATCCGACTGGAGGGCTCCGGATCCCAGTCTTCCCGCAGCGCTCCTCGGGCGGGAGCGATCGTCGCTGCGACAAAGGAGGTGCAGCAGCACGCGACGGCCCGACGGGGGGCTCCAGCGCCCATCTTTCTGCAGAGCGCTCGTTGCGCACTGGATCGCCCGAGCGCGGCTGGCCGCGCGGCACGAGGCCGGGCGCGAGAGAGGACGCCGGGGGAGAGAGAGCGGCCGAGGCCCGGCCCTCGGGGAGGAAGGCCGCAGCAGCGGGGGCGTGAAGCCGCCCGATGGGTGGGGCCCTCGGAGGATCGAGGCAGCTCACGCCACGCTGGCGACGCACTCGCCGAAATGCTGCGAGGGCGACGCGCACGTTCGCGAGGACGGCCGGCCTTTTCGGCGGCCGACGCGCGGGCGGCGCACGGGCGACGAACGCGCGACGCACCCCTCGTCGCGAAGGAGGGGGGGGGTCAGCACGCCGGTCGCGTTACTGGGCCTCAACCGGTCGGGCCCTCGGAGGATCGAGGCAGCTCATGTCTGACTCTGTCAAGCAGTGTCGAAGCGTCCCGGCGTGCCTATAGGCCTCGCAAGCAATGTTCTGAGAACCTCTCCTCTCGTGGCTTCCACGAAATGTTCTTCGGACACTTCTGGCTGGGACCGACTTGATTTAACGCATCGGGTTTATGTTATAAAAACACGGCCTTTGTTCTAAGAGCATTTTTTGGTTCTGAGAACATTTCGTGGTAGGACTATAGGAATGCCGCGACGGCCGGTCCCTGTTCAACTCTGGGTCCGCCGTACTTTGGTTGGCTCTCTGGTTCAAAAGATTGCGTCGGACGTGCATCCTAAACGATGGCGGCTACGTGTCTCCTCAGGGGTACGGCGGAAGCAGCGACGGCAAAGCAGGGCGGAAATCGGCATCAGGGGAGCTTGAAGCGTAGGGCGGGTACGGTCGGGAACTTTGGCTTAACGTGCCGCGCCACCAGCTCTGGCCCACCACGCTTCGGCGCGACACGCCAATCAGCTCCCAGCCCCCTGCCCCGAGGAGCGGGGCGGAGCGACACGCTGCCCGCTCGCAGGGCGCAGCGTGTCGGTGGGGCTGCCGCCGCGACACGCTGAGCGAAAGTTCCTGAGCACTTCTGCCCGACTTACAACATCATCACCCAAAACACGGCGGATTTGGAGTCAGGGGTACGGGAGCCAGGCCGCGCCGAGTCTCCGGGGAGTCCCCCGGCCACCACTTCCGCGTGCCCGCTCAGCGCCCACGAGCCCGGTGATCTCCGGCTGCGTTACCAGGAGGGAGGAGGGAGGGAGGGAAGAGGAGGAGGAGGAGGAGGAGGAGGAGGAGGAGGAAGAGGAGAAACAGGACGATGAGTAGTAGGAGGAGGAGGAGGAGGAGGAGGAGGAGGAGGAGGAGGAGGAGGAGGAGGAGCAGGAGCAGGAGCAGGAGCAGGAGCAGGAGCAGGAGCAGGAGCAGGAGCAGGAGCAGGATGAGGAGCAGGAGCAGGAGCTGGAGCAGGTGCAGGAGCAGGAGCAGGAGCAGAAGGACGAGGGTTTCCCGCGACAACCATGCAAGCGAGTGGTTCGCGATTGCTGGCCTGCTTGGGCGACCAGGCCTTGGAAGATTAGCCATGGCAACCTCGCGGGAGGCTGGTCACAGGTGGGGGACGGCGGCGACGGCGGCAGCAGCGGGGGCGGGCCCGGGGGTGCGGGGGGAGCGACGCCGCCCGCGCGCAACTCGCGCTGCGCCCTCTGAAGACCTTCGCTTCTTCCCTCGGCACGCTCCTCTCCCCCAGCACGTCCTGCTTCTGTCGCCGCAGCGTCGCAGGCCCCAGTCCAGTCTTCTCCGAATTCGCCTGCTCATGGATCCCTCTGGTCCAGGACAGCGCAGGGACTCCGATCGCAGCGAGCACAGGGTTCCTGGGCCCGGGCAGGTGGCAGGATTTCCCCTTTGGATGCGGATGTTGAGGTGCGGCTAACCGACCGCTCCAGATGATGAAAGCCTACCTTATTCCCGGCCAAAACAGATTTGGTCGGGGGAGAGGGGCTGCAAGACCGACTTGTATTATCGCGGGGGACAGTTGCGAATCGAAGTTGCTATCTTCTTATGTTGGTTATCGCCCCTCGAGCAGCCGTTCCTGCGAGTCTTGGCGTTGCCGTTGTGATTCCGAGGCTTAGCGGGATCACCCACGAGCACCTGGCAAGGCTGAGCACTCATACACACGCGCCGCACTTCCAACAAAACGTGCGCTCCCCAGCGCGTGAGAACCTGTGGTGCCGTGACACCTGCAGCGGGGCCTGGTCGCTGGCAGACGCCTCCCTCCCTTCACCCCGAGAGAGGCGCAACCTGGGCCTGGATCCCTCGACCCCCGGATCCTCGACCCCTCGCCCCTGGATATCTTTCGACCCCTCGGCCTCCCTGGCTCCCTCGATGTCCTTCGCCCCTGGATCCCTCGACCCCCGGCCTCCCCCTCGCCCCCCTCCCCCCCTCCTCCTCCTCCTCCTCCTCCTCCTCCTCCTCCTCCTCCTCCTCCTCCTCCTCCTCCTCCTCCTCCTCCTCCTCCTCCTCCTCCTCCTCCTCCTCCTCCTCCTCCTCCCCCCCCTCCTCCCTCCTCCTCCTCCTCCCCCCTCCCCCTCCTCCTCCCCCTCCCCTCCCCCTGCCCCTGCCCTGGCCCTGCCCTCGCTCCTCGGCTCGAGCGGCGCCCGCCCGGGCGCCCGCGGGGCCGCGCCCCGCGGGGGGCCTCGCTCGGCGGCGCGGGCCGAGGCGGGCCCCCCGCGGCCGCCGCCGCCGCCGCCGCCGCCGCCGCCGCCGCCGCCGCCGCCGCCGTCGTCGTCGTCGTCGTCGTCGTCGTCGTCGTCGCCGTCGTCGTCGTCGTCGCCGTCGTCGTCGTCGTCGTCTTCGCCGTCTCTGTATCTCATCTCTTTCTTTCAATTTCTCTCTCTCGTCCTCGTCGTCGTCGTCGTCGTCATCGTCCGATTCCCTTGCGTGTTTCACCGCTTCGTTCGTCACTGCAGCACTTCGGCGCCGAACCGGTACTCTCAGGAGATGTGAGCCAGTTCCATGCTTAACAAAAAGGTCGGTTTCGACTTCAGCTCCAAGTGCTTTGAGATTGTCATGAAGCCCTGGTTTAGGCTCAGGCGCCGTGGACCAACGGATTGCAGATAGGCTCTTCGAAGTTCGGAGTTCTAAGTTTTCGGACGTCATCGTCGGTTCTCGGCGCTCTTCCAGCCTCGGGGTGCCTTGCATCGGCTGCGCCTCGCCGAGAGTCTTCCGGAGGTGCCTGGATCGTCCCGAATGGCCGCTGGAGGCCCGAGTTAGGGCCCGAAAACGAGGCTCGGGTGGGCACCCTGAGGTTTGGGCGCTGCCATTTTCTCATACAGTCAACGCGCCCAGTAAGGACGCGCGCCTTCATCTGGGATACCCTTGCGTCCTTGCCTCTGTGGCCCGTCCTTTGCCGTTTTCACTGGTCGCCGCCGCCCAAAAAAATCCCAAACTTAAGCCTCCAAGGGTCTTGCGTCCTTGCCACGCGTCCTCAATATACGTTTTGACTGTACCGGGCGTCTTCGCCCAGCCTCGGGCCCCGGGGCCATCACAACTCTAGCCGGGGCTCGGAGAGTGCCGCAGAGAGGCGGGGCCGATAGGACCCCCCGGGTCGTGATCTTCTGCTGCGGTGGATTGCCCCCCAAGCTCTCAAGGCTGGCACGCGCGGGGGAGACTGCGGTCGAGGTGCAACTCATGAGACCCACCGCCAACTCTGAACATTGGGGGGAGGGGGAGGCGTTCACAGAGGAATGTGGCATGAGTGCTCGCTATTTCCCTACCTACGCTCTGCCTAGAAGGGTTCTTACTCTCTAGCTTAAAGGGGCCGGGCAGTGGAAAGCGCCCCGGGCGGTTCCCCCAGTCCCCGCCCCGCGGTTCCCCCCAGTCCCCTGGGAGCTTTAGCTTTAGCTTCAGCTTAGCTTTAGCTTAGCTTTAACTTAGCTGTAGCTTAGCTTTAGCTTAGCGTTTCGCTTAGCTTTTCGCTTAGCGTTTAGCTTAGTTTTAGCTTAGCTTTAGCTTAGTTTTAGCTTAGTTTGAGCTTAGCTGTAGCTTAGCTTTAGCTTAGCTTTAGCTTAGTTTTAGCTTAGCTGTAGCTTAGCTTTAGCTTAGATTTAGCTTAGCTGAAGCTTAGCTTTAGCTTAGCTGTTGCTCAGCTTTAGCTCAGCTTTAGCTCAGCTTTAGCTTAGCTTTAGCTTAGCTTTAGCTTAGCTTTAGCTTAGCTTTAGCTTAGATGTAGCTTAGATTTAGCTTAGAATTAGCTAAATCTAAGCTTAGCTGTGGCTTAGCTTTAGCTTAGCTTTAGCTTAGCTTTAGCTTAGCGTTACTGTTACTACTAGTGCTGCTTTCCTAGGGGTTCCAACTCCTAGGTAGGGTCGCACTGGGATAATTTGTTTCCCGAGGCCTGTATGTTGCAGTTTTTCTTCGCAGCGTCGGATCTCGGGGCGGGCCCCTGGGCGCCGTGGACTGGCAGGAGGGGGCGCCTTGCCCAGAACGAGGGGAGAGGTTCTCGAGCACACTCGTCGATCCTCGTCGGTTCTCCAGCCTCGAGGTGCGTTCCAGCTCAGCAGCTGCGCCTCGCCGAGAGCGTTCTGGGGGTGCCCAGATCGCTCCGAACGGCCGCCAGAGGCCAGAGTGGCCCGAAAGCCAGGGGTGACCAACGGATCGCAGATGTCCTGAGGGAAACGGGTGCTGAGCTTTTCGGCCGTTCTCAGGTTCTCGGGGCCCTCCATGGCTCCCGGGAGCGTCGGAAAACGGTTCAGGACGAAGAGTTGGTCCCCGCGGAAGGCCTTGGGTCTAGGACCCGTTTCCCACAGGACCCGTTTCTTTCATGCTGAATATCGTGGATCGCTGGCCGAGTGGAGCTTGCGAGGAATTGGGGAGGCGGAGGAGGAGGAGGAGGCGGAGGAGGAGGAGAAGGACGAGGACGAGGACGGGGAAGAAGTGAGAGGATGGCAACGAGGAGGAGGAGGGGAGGAGGAGGAGGAGGAGGAGGAGGAGGAGGAGGAGGGCAAGGAAGGCAAGGAGGGCAAGAAGGGTGGGGCACCAGGAGGAGAAGGATGAGGAGCAGGAGGAGGAGGAGGTGGAGGAGGCGGAGGAGGAGGAGGAGGAGGAGGAGGAGGAAGAGGACACACCGTGAAGAGGGCGAGCGCACTTTTTCGGAGCATTCTGAATCGATGGTTGAAGGAGAGGCCGGCTGCGGGTACCAGAGAGCGAGTGTGCGAGGTTCGAGCCAGAGGCCGCGCCAGCACCAGACCTGCTCTGGCCAGGGTGGTCCTGCGCGTGCACCTTGCCAACGTAGCCTGGAAGAGGGCTGGGGCGAGCCTCGGGCTTGGCCAGACGGGGCCGACCTGGTCAGGCAGCGGTGTAGAAAACAGGCGCTGCCCTCCTCATCGTCGTGCTCCCGATCCTCTCCTGTAGCCAATTCGGCTCTGGCCCGCATGTGTGTTCAGAGCACCGATCAAACCCGTTCCACACGATGCCCCGATGACTGCGTTCGTGTCTTTTCCTGGGCGTCCTTGCGGGAACCGCATCCCTCTTCCTCGTGCTTCGGTTCGTGGGGTCCCGCGTGAGCGGGCGGCCTCTCTCGTCTGCCTTGCCGCTCCGCCGGCGGAGTGCGCCCGAGGGGGCTTGCCAGGGCTGGCAGCACCTTGTCGTCCACCACGGTGGCGTCATCCGCATGCGAGCGACGTACAGTAGGGGTCCTGAAGAAGGAGCCCTTTTCGTTGGGGAGGGGCTCCGTGCTCCTTGAGTGTTCCACAGCTTGCCCTAGGTTGTCCTCATGTTTTCGATCGGAAGTCGAAGGTTGACTTATGAAAAAAGGGGGCCTCGTTCCTTATTCAGGGCTCCTTAGGTCAACGCCCCGACTGTAAGATAGCGGGGTCGACTGCGCCGACAGCCGCGCGGACGCTTCCCGCGTGAAGTCGCGCGTGAGCACCCTCTCCTCCACGCGGTGTGCCATGCTGGATGCCCGCGCAAGCCGCGGCGCAAGCTCGCGGCGTTCTCTCGCGAAAGACCAGTTTCTTCTTGCCGCTCGTGTGCCGTGCCCGACGAGCCCGAGGGCGACGGTGCTGATTGGCCACCAGAGGTGCTCTCAGCGTGCGGCCCTCCGAGGCAAGCGCCAGCACGAGCAGAGGGTCTCGAGCGGCACCGACGGCAGCGACGCCTCGGCTGAGACTCTGGTCCGCGCACCTCGGCGGCATCGTGCCACCGCCGTGGTGCGGAGGTGTGCGCCGACCAGAGCTGCCAGACGTGAAAGCCGCCTGCTTCCCAACCGGAAGTTCTAGAGGCACTACCGTCAACGCGCCTAGTAAGGACGCGCGCCTTCATCTGGGGTACCCTTGTGTCCTTGCCTCTGAGGCCCGTCCTTGCCATTATCACTGGTCCCCCGCCGCCCTAAAAAACCCAACTTCGGCCTCCAAGGGTCTTGCGTCCTTACCGCGCGTCCTTACTACACGTTTTGACTGTACAGAGCACGCGCCCCTGACCTCGGAGGCGTGGGAGGCACCGTGGCCTCGACCTCCAGCGGTCTCGGAGAAGAGGGCTGCATAATTGCCAGCTCCCCCGCGGGGGGAGGTCCGATCCGCTGCGCAGCCGCGCGCCGCTGCGCTCTCCGACCCGGGGCGGTGCTCGCACGGCGCCGTGGCGGACCTGGACAGGCTGCCGACCGCGGGGCCCGCAGCGCAGGCGGGGGCCCTGGCCGGCGGGGGCCCGGCCGCCTCGGCGGTCCCTGGGTGCCTCCGCGGAGACGGCGGGGCACGCCCTCGCGTCCGAGAGGGGCGTCGCGGAGTGCCGCGGGAGTGGCACGGGCAGGGGGGGGGGGTTCGGTGGACGGCCGCCCGAGCCCGAGCGAGGGCAGCCGGGGGGCCTCCCCGGGGGCGGCCGCGCTGGTCCTGCAGCGCGCGGCGTGGGCAACGACGGCTCTGGCCTCCCCTGCCCCCCCCGCCTCCCCCGAGGACTGGCGGGGCCCACGGGGGGGGCGGCGCTCCAGGGGTGGGCGAAGCAGGCGGCGGAGCTTCCAAGAAGGCAGCGGCAGGCGGGGCTTGTTGGACGCCCGCCCGCCTTCTAAGAGGCCTCATCAGAAGCCCCTGGGGCCTTCTGCAAAAGCCACTGCCTTCTGAGGAGGACCTCTTTTTCTCAACCATCCTGTGGTGTTGGGTCCTCGTTTTGAAGAGACAGCGCCCCGCGCTCCTCTCCTCTCCTCTCCTCCTCCCCCTCCTCCCTCCCTTGCCTCTGCCACCGCATGTATAATATGTTTCGGCACACCCCTCACACGTTTCGTTGTCCCATAGGGAGCCCCACCGAAGGCCCAAATGCCAGCGTTCGCATGCAACCACCGCACCACGCACGCTTCGTGGCCCCATAGGGAGTCCCACCGAAGGCCCACATGCCAGCGTTCGCATGCAACCACCGCACCCATTTTGGCACACCCCTCACACGTTTGGTAGCCCCATAGGGAGCTCCACCGAAGGCCCAAATGCTAGCGTTCGTATGCGGTCACCGCACCCATGTAGGCACACCCCTCACACGTTTCGTGACCCCACAGGGAGCCCCACCGAAGGCCCCAATGCAGGCGTTCGCATGCGCCCGCCGCACCCATTTTGGCACACCCCTCTCGCTTCGTGGCTCCAAAGGAAGCCCTACCAGAGGCCCAAATGCAAGCGTTCGCTTGCGGTCATCGCACTCATTTTGTCACACCCCTCACACGCTTCGTGGCCCCATAGGGAGCCCCACCGAAGGCCCACATGCCAGCGTTCGCATACAACCAGCGCGCCCATTTTGGCATACCCCTCACACGTTTAGTAGCCCCATAGGGAGCACCACCGAATGCGGTGCATACAACGACGGTGCCCACAACTGCAGATGGTTGTTTTATTTGCCAGGCTATGTTTAGTTCTCTCTTTTTTTGTTTCTCTCTCTCTCTCTCTCTCGCTTCCCCTCTCGCAAAAAAAGGCTTAAAGAAGGCCACTGTCTTCTCACGAACCCCTCCGCCCTGTTCGAGGGCCGCCCCCTCTCGCGGCTGTTTGTTTATAGGGATGCTTGTATGCATGTATGTACGTATGTCGTTTCGTTTGTGTATGTGTGCATGTATGTATGTATGTATGTACGTATGTATGGTTGTATGCGTGCATGCATGTATACATGTACGTGTGAATGCATAGTTATGTATGTATGGACGGATGGTTGGATCGATGTAGGTATGTATGTATATATGTACGGTTGTATGTACGTATGGGTGTACGGCCGTGTATATATATATATGTATATATATGCATGCATCTGTGAATATACCTACGTAGGTGTGTATGTATGTAGGCATGACTGGCTGCATGAATGTCTCTATGCATGTGCGTATGCATGTACGCAGCCATACATGTGTCTATGTATGCATGTATGTTCGCATGCATGCATGTATGCATGTATGTACGCATGTATGTGTGCATGCATGTGTATGGCTGTGTACATACATAGTCGTATGCATATATGTATATATAGATATGTGCATATGTGTGTGATCATGTATGTATGTATGTATGTGTGTATGTATGTATGTATGCATGTATGTACGTATGTATGTATGTATGTAGGGTCGCATGCATGCATGCACCTATATATGCGTGTGCACATGTGTATATGTATGCATGTTTGTGCACATGCGTGTACAGGCTTCTGCGTGTACGGTTGTATGCCTGTGTGTCTGTATGCATGTGCGTGTGTACGTATGTTTGTGTGTATGCATGTGTGTACGTATGTAGGTAGGTCGGTAGTCGGGTAGGCATGTTTGCATGTATGTACGTATGCATGCATGCATGTATGTATGTATGCATGCACGCATGGATGTATGCATATACATATATATGTATATATACGCGTGTACGCATGCACGTGCTTATGTATGTTTGTGTGCGTGTGTTTATGTGTTTCTGCATATCTATAGGTGTAGGTGTACATCCTTGTATGCATGTACGCATGTACGTGGGTCTGCATGTATTTATGTATGTCTGTATGTCTGTATGTATATACGCATGCACGTATTATGCACGTGTATACGGGTGTATGCATGTAGTGTATGTGTGTGCATGTATGCATGCATGCATGTACGTATGTAGATGTGTATGTATGGATATACGTGTATGTGTATGTGTATATGTATGTGTGTATGTATGTATGCATACGTCTATGCATGCATGTATGTACGTGTGTGTGTATGTATGCATGTCTGTCTTCATGCCTGTATGCATGTCCGCATACATGTACGTACGCATGCAAGTACGTAAGTAAGCATGTGTGTACGTATGTACGTGTGTAGATATGTATGCATTTATGTGTGTCTGTATGTACGTATGCATGTAAGTAAGTATGTATGCATGTAGTTATGTATGTAATGCTGGATGGAGGATGGATAGATGTATGTATAGTCCTCCCCCTCGGGTTCTGCAAGGCGTGGGGGGGGGGGAACCCGGCCGTTTCCCAAACGGACCCCACCAGATCCGTAGCCCAGGGGCCCCCCCGGACGCCCCTGCAGACTGTCCCCCGGGCTTTCCGGAGCTCCTGGAGCCCCTTGTTTCGGGGGCGGCAAAGAGGGGGGGGATGATTAGGGGGGGGGGTGGATATCATGGCGGGGGCCATGATATTTCCCCAGATTTCATGGCGCCTCTTCTTATTTCATTACGTCCCTGGCCCCCCCGCTGGGCCGCGCACATGCCGCCGGTTATGATTTGCACCCCCCCCTCTTGGACACCCCCCTTTTGGCCGCTCCCGACTGCAGAATGTCCCCCAGGCTTTCCGGAGCTCCTGGAACCCCTTGTTGCAACGGGTCCAAATCGGTCAGGAAGGCGGCCGAACGGCCCCCCGAGGGCCCCAGAAGGCCCCAAACACCCACCAGACGCCCGGAGGCGACCAAAGAAGACCCCCCAAGGGGCCTTCTAAACGCAGCGAAAAAAGATCGAGTCCCCATATTTTTTTGCACGATTTTGGGAATGCTCTGTTCTTCGGTTTTCTCGGCGTCCGGGATCTCCCAGGAGGCCCGAGAATCGCCCCAAAATTATCTCAAAGGGTTTCCAGGCAGGCCAAGAGAGCCCCATGACAGCCCAAGACGGCCCCAAGACGCCCCCCGAAGCATTCCAAATCGTGTCCCAGTCGTTCAAGGAGACTGCGGTTGGAAAGCAGGGTGGCCCGAGGAAGCCCCCAGAGGCCCCCCGAGGGCGCCCAGGAGGCCTCCAAAAGGCCCCGAGAAGCCCTTAAAAGCGTTCGTAAGGCCCCGAGAGGCTCTTCGAGGAGGAACCTCCGCAAAAAGAGCTGAGGAGGATGGGGAAAAATTTGAAGGCTAGGGCGAGAATGAGGAAGAGGAAAATGAAACATGGGGAAGGATAGTGAATCACAGTAGCCCCACGCCCGCCACACATTATTATAGCGACGATGTCGGAAGAGGCAACAAGGAGCTATCGCTAAAGTGGCTGTAATAGGTTCCTTCCTTTGCGCCTGTATCCCAATATTCAAGGGCCAAGGTGCATGGCGCGAGGCGCCAGAGCATTCTTTTGTGTGTCTACATATGACATTGGTTTAAACCTACATGTATAGATCGGCTTACCACCTAACTCGTCCACCGTACATCACATTACGCTGCTTCGCCGCACGGTGCAGTAGGTTAGCTTGCGCACGATACGCTCCCGCATCGAGAGTAGGAAACCAAGGCAACCTTGACCACCCAACTCGTAGGATCCAGCTTCAAACGTTGGGGAGTTGGATTTGTAGTTCCCAACCCTCCTCCGTCGCATCCTCGTTTCGAGTGGAGCGCGTTGGGTTTCCCCCTCTTGCCTCAAGCTTCCTGGCAGTATTCTCTGCCACCTCGGTGCTGCCAGACATGCCAAGGCGCTGTCAAGCGCGCAACTGCTGCCACTTTGCTGCGCCCGTGAGAGGGCCAGCAGGGTGGCTGCTGGTAGGCGCGCCACGTTGCTGCGCCAGTGATAGGTCCAGAGAAAAGGCGCCACACGCAGATGCAACGACACCTCGCCCTACTGCCGCGTGTGCAACTGTCACCACTTTGCTGCGCTACAGGTGGGATCCAGCGGAGTGGCGTCATGCGCAAATTCAACCAGACATCGCCATCCCTGGGGGTTGCTAGGCGCGCAACCGTCGTTACTTTGCCCCTCCCGTGAGAGTTCCAGAGGAGTGGCGCCAGACGCGGATCCAGGGGGACCTCGCCTTTCTTGGGCTATGCCAGGCGCGAAGTTGTCGCCGCTTCGCTGAGCCCGTGAGACGTCCCACGGGATGGTTTCCTCCCCCACCCAGAGATGCATTGCCTCACATCGGCCCCATGGGGCACGCAGCGGCATGGTTTCCTATGCAGCGCTCCCAAGAGATCACATGATGTTTCCTGGAATCGTTCGTTCTGGCTGGGCCGTTGATGTTGCCACGTGTTGGAGATGGGCTGGGTACGTCCCAGGGCTGTGTGATTTCGCGCCTCCGAGGGATCCTACTCGCTGAAACTCGCGTGTTGGATCTGTTGGGCCCCTTACGTGTGGAACCTATTGTATGGCACCCACGCCTTGGAGCGGCCCTTGTCAGAGGCAGCGCCAGTCCCACAAGCTTTCTAAAGAGACAGAAGGGCATCGGCCTCCAAGGGCGCGTGTCACTCAAGAGCAAAATCTGTGGACCCTAGATGAGAAAGGCTAGAGGCTCCAAATCAGAGTCAGATTTGGAGCCTCGAGCGCTTCGTGCGTCCAGGCCAAAGGCTCGAGTCCACGACGCCCCTTGGCGTCGCGTTGATGCCGCCCCGATTTGCCAGACCGCATATGCACAGATAGGCATAATCTGTGCTTCAACGCTTGTTTTATGACCCTTGCTATAGTAACAGACCCACGTTGGAAACCAAAATCTGACCGTGATCCAGGATCTTCGAACGTTCTGGGTTCATCGGGGAGGGCGTCCGAGGCCCAGGTCTGCCCTCCGAACGGCTGCATCTCACTCCCTTTGCAGAGGTCTCGTCCTGCGTTGGTGTGGGTCTCCAGTGCACCGCTTCAGGGCTGACCTGGAGAGCTCCAGTAAGCGAGCGTCGGGAGGGAAGGTGGGGATGGGGAAGAGGAGGAGGAGCAGGATGAGGAGGAGGAGGAGGAGAAGGAGAAGGAGATAGGAAGAGAGAGAGAGAGGCATCTATTGATATACATACATACATAGCACCCCGCATATGCGGATAAGAGTGAGGGGGCAGTAGAGACGTCGGCAGTCTGTGAGACTCTGGAGAAGTCCGCCGCAGGCGCCGAAGCTTCACAAATTATGCAGCGAGCCCGCCGCCGGCGCCGATTTTTCGTTAAACCAATGTGGGTAGGTCGCGGTTGGGTCGCGGGGCGGGTCGCGGGTTGGGTCGCGGGTTGGGTCGCGGAGTGGGTCGCGTGTTGGGTCGCGGGGTGGGTCGCCGGGTGGGTTGCGGGGTGGGTCGCGGGTGGGTCGCGGGTGGGACGACGACTACAAACAAACAACAACGCAACAAGCATAATCTTCACCACGGATCCTCACTTCAACCACGCACCCAGGGACGATGAATGACCGCTCGGCCCCCTCACTCTGATATATACATGTGTATATATAATCCTTTTCCCTATCGAATGATAAGGGAAAGCCAACCCCGGGATGGGCGTCACCTAATTCGCCACCCCCCCGGACGGGCTCAAGACAACCCCGAGAATGCCTGAAATTACCGCCAAGCTGGTCCGACGGGCCCCAGAAGCCTTCCAAGACGCCCACAGATTCTAAGATGCCCCAGTTGGTCACAAGACGGCCCAAGAGGCCACCAAGACGCCCCACACGGCCCCAAGACGGTGCAAGAGACTCCCAAGACGGCCCCGGAGACCCTCAAGACGGCTCCAAGAAAGGCTCCACAACAGGACCCGACCCGACATTTCGGCCCCTTGGCTCCAGGATACCCCCCAGAAGGCTCGAACACAGCCCCAGGAGGCCCCCAAGAGGCCCCAACAGGCCCCCAGGACGTCCGCGAGAAGCCATCCATGAGGCCTCCACGAACAGAGACGACGTATACACTTCGGACGCGCCACGCTGCGGTTGATGTTCCGTAGCCTTTGACCCCCAGGATTCCGCTGATGTTCCGCCACGCCATAGGCCGATTGAGATCATGGCGGACGATTTCCACAAATCGCCGCAGTTCCTCACATATTTTGTTTGCTGCTGCTGCTGCAGGTGCCTCCACCACTGGCTTCATTGACTTGCGTCCTGCACTTCCAGCAACGTGCGCGGGTGATACTGACTCCCCCGCCGTGCGCAAGAGGCCAGCCTCTCGCGGACGTCCCAGCGCAGACACGTTGCATTGCACCCGCTGCGACTAGGACGTCCCGCGGCTGGACTTCGCAGTCCGCCAACGCAACCGAGCGACCCGCGCGTGCATCGCTTGCACCGCGGTTGCCCCGCAGACTTCCGGCATGTCCACACGCCGACTAGAGGTGATTTGCGTTCGTTGTGGGCTATCCTTGCCAAGGGACGCATTCGCTTGCGGCCGCGACAGGACGCATGACAGCGTTTGTCGCGAATGCAGCGTAGTGGGTCGGCCGCCGTTGGAAGACGTGCCGTTCTCTGTCGGAGACATGAACCGACGTTGCCCGCATTGCGCGGCCTCCCTCTTCCCAACCGAAACGCCCGCGTTTTGCTGCAGCAACGGCAGGTGGGCGATCACATTCGAGCATTTTTTCTCACCTCCGGCGCCCGCCCTTTTGGAGATATTCCGCTCCACTTGGCACGCTCGGGACGCCGCGGGCCATCTTCTACACGATCCACCACCAATTCACCTCGTCTGACAGGGTTCACGGCCGACAGTCGCCGCTACAACAACCTATTCGCATTAGCTGTTCACGAGATCCACAGCGCGGGAAACACGAAGGAACTTCGATTCGACAACTACATGAGCCCTTCCAACCTCCGGATTCACGGCGCGATGCACAGCCGCCCGCCGCCTGTTCTCCGACTGGGCGGCGTTGGAGAGCGAGATAGCCAAGCAGATGCGGAGGTATTGTCGAGGCCGCGGCCGGGAGCACTTCTCGGCCAGGCAGGCGGCCGCTGACATGACCCAGGTGCCAGGATGGGTGAGCGGCCTCGGGCCCGGCTCCCGGCCCGCCACTTCGCGCGCCGGCCCCGGAGCCCAGGCTGTCCATTATTTGGCCGAAGCCGCCGTTGGCAAGAGGACAAAGCGCACCCCGCGCTTCATGGACTACAAGGAGCAGACGGAGAAGTGTGAATACAGCAAACTCGTTTGCCGGCTGACCTTCCCCGCGGCCGCGGTCGCCGCGAGGTGCACGCCGACGCCCGGTTAGGACAGCCACGGCGCATAGCGCTGCGCCGCGCGGGGGGGACGCGCGACGCCTACGTTCGAAAAACATCTCCGCGCGCCGGCCGGCCGGCCGGTCACGCTCTCAAAAACGAAGCCGTCAACGTGAACCCAAAATTGGTTCGGCCCGTTGGGTGGCTCCGCGCCCCAGGACATGCTTTTTCCTTACGAAAACAGACACACACACACACACACACACACGCACGCACTCGACGGCCCCTCGGCGCCAGAGTGCCCGCAGAGCGCCAGACGCTCCCATCCGGGGCCCCGAAGAAAAAAACAGCAGTCGACGTGAACCACAAACTGGTTCGGCCCGTCGGGTGGTTCTTCACTTCCAAACATGTTCACTCCATACAAACACACACACACACACACACACGCAGCCCTGAACTGTCGAGCTCGCGACAAACATCAAATTTACACCCCTATGGCAATGAAAGTTCACGAGCTCGCCACGTTCTGTGACCACATAGCGCGGCGAGGTGCCAGACCCGCGCCCCTGCGCCAAGGATGAGGATGAGGGACAAGATGTTGCGGCGAGGCGCAGCGAACCAACAATATCTTGTGTAACTATATATATGTAGAGAGAGAGAGAGAGAGAGAGAGACAAAAAAACAAGAGAGAGAGAGAGGGAGAGAGAGATATGGAGAGGAGGAGGAGGAGGAAGAGGAAGAGGAGGAGCAGGAGGAGCAGGAGGAGAAAACAAATGATGGTGATGATGATGATGGTGATGGTGGTGGTGATGATGATGGTGATGACGAAGAGGAGGAGAGGATGAGGAGGAGGTGGTGGTAGTGGTGGTGGTGGATGAGCAAAATGTTGAACAGGAGGAAGAAGATGATGATGGGGGATGAGGATGACGCGGATGAGCAGCATCAGCAGGAGCAGAGCTACGAGGAGCAGGAGGAGCAGGAGGAGCCTGAGGAGCAGGAAGAGCAGGAGGAGCAGGGGAAGGCGCGGGGGCAAAACGTCGACCCGAAAATGAGGCCAACGCTGCAGCGGGAATATGATTTGTGGAAGGGCCAACAACGTTTCGATTGAAACACATTTGCGATAAACAAATGTGTGATACTTCTGCGTGTGCAACAAGACAGCGGGAAGGGGGCACGATGCCCTCAAGACGTCTTCGTGGGGGGGGGAGAGTCGTATTCACAGTTTGTGGTTGTAGAGGGGAGGAGGCGGAGGCGGAGGAGGAGGAGGAGGAATATCAGGAAGATTAGGAGGAGGAGGAGGAGGAGGAGGAGGAGGAGGAGGAGGAAGAGCAGGAGGAGGTCGTAGCCATTCTGGCTCAAGAGTTGGATAGGGTCCCATTTTCTTGTTCCTGTTGTGGCCTCGCTCTGGCCGCAGCTGCCCATCATCATTTCTCGTTCCGCGCTGTTTCGGCCCGCTTTCCTGCCCGCCCGAGCCCCTTCGAGGGCTCTCTCCATGCCTGGCGGTGCCGCGGATGGCCCCAGCGCGCCCAGGCTGCCTGCGCCCCTTCGCGGCGCCGCTCCCGCGGGAGATTCGCAGCGGAGCCGTGGCAGTGGCGAAGGTCGTTCGTGCTCGGGGGAACAACGCAGATCACGGTCAAAGGAACCAGTCCGAGGTGCCCCTGCGGAGGAGGAGGATCGGAGCTCTCAGGCCGCTGGTGCTCGTCGTCCTGCTGCTGGTCAACGCGCTGCGGATCCGCTTCAAGGGCGAGCGGACCCATGGGCTGCCAGCTCAGCTGCTGCCTCTGGGGGGCCCCCCACTGGCGGCAGTGCCGCTGCTGCGGCCGCAGTCGCTCGTGGGGGTCTTGCCCCTGATCAGCAGAGCTCCCTGGACGACCTCTTCAAAGCGTTCAAGGATGAGATCTCTGCGTCTGTGGAAGCGAAGCTGGGCTCGATCAAGACATCCATCATCTCGGAGATTTCGAACCACTCCACGGGCTTGGTCCGAGCTGTGGCTGCGCGGCAGGATGCAGTTAATCAACATGTTCAGGTTCAGCTCACTGATCTGCAGGCAAGAAGTGATGTGCTGGAGCACTCGCAGCACGAGATGCGAAAGCAAATGCAGGAGATGCGGAAAGAGCTGCACTGCCAAGAGAGGGCCATCCCGATCAAGGACTACGAAGACATGCAGGTGTGGGATCGCCAGCCAGACCCGACGGTGCTCATTGCGAGCTTGTCGGAGATGGCCAGCAAGGAAAAGGTCAATGCGGAGCTCTCTGAGTGGCTCTCTGAGGCAGGTGTTGCGAAGAATCAGTATAAGCTCATTGGTGACAGCCCCAGCAGGAAGTATATCATACAGATGCTCGGCAATAGTGATGCTGCGCAGCGCAAAGTGCGTGCGGCTCGACGGGCACTCAAGCGGGACGCTCAGAACTGGAGGCAATTTGAGACTGATGCAGTGCTTGGTGGACGGGCAAAAATATTCGTGGGTCTGGACAAATCGGCGAGACAGATCAGAACGGAGGTACAAACAGAACGCCTGGCGTCATTTGTCAAATATCAGTTACCAAACAAAAGAATCAAGCATGACAGAGCCAAGGGAATTGTGTTCATCGACAGCATACCGGCGATTACGGCCCAGACGGGTGACTCGTTCGAGTCCAAGAGCCGATTATTATGGAACTACACTGCAGTCACGTCGCAGGGAGTGGACCAGAAGGCGCTGCAGGATACGTTCAATGCTACATTCAATGCGGTCGAGGACTCAGTGCAACGGTCGATTTAACAGGACCCTGCAAGTTTGGAAAGAAGACTTCAAGAGAGGCATTCCGCAACAGGTGGCATTCATGACATGGAATACGCGGGCGCTATTACATCACGACATGGGGTTGCGGACCAAAAAAAAACAAGCTGAGAGAGTCCTGCAAGAATATGTCGATTGTTGCGTTGCAGGAGGTTCATGGTACGAAGGAGGAGCTCAAGTCTCAACTGCACCTGAGAAAAATGGATATGGCTATATTTGCATCGATTCCTGAGCATGCTGCAGGTGGCGTGGCATTCATACTTCCAGAAATGACACAGAAACAAATGGAAGAGGGGTTGGAAAATGAAAGGATCAGATACTCAGACATCATCCCAGGTCGGGTGCAAAGATTGGCTATCAAGGCAAGAGGGAATTTGGACAGGTCGGATACAATGCTGGCATGTTATAATATACACAATTATGGCCTCTCTGCGCTGCAAGTCAATCAACTGACGAACAGGATCAGGGCGGAAGTACAGATTGCGATGATCTGCCCAGACCATATGACGGTGGTGGTGTTGGGGGATTTCAACTACCACGAAGTGGCACCTACTCATCTACACGTCCCGCTCATCGACAAAGGAGTGGGCACTGACCCACGCAGCCGAGAGCACGGGGAGCTTTTCTCACAAGGTTTGGAGGACATGATTGAGCTAGACCCAGAGAGGCCAACGGAATTTGTGAAGGACGGACGGAAGTTGACGCATATTGATCGAGTGATGATCTCAACGCCACAGTGGAAGCTGCTACATTGGAACATGACGGCTACAGTACCCGTGGAGCCTGAGAGATTGGATGATGAAGGTATTTCGGATCATGCACCGGTGCAAGTGGTGTTCTATCGCAGACGTCGTAGGCCTCCTGAAGATCAGGTTGTTCTTCGTTTTGTCTGTGAGACGGCGGAGTACACGGAGATGCTGGACGAGCTGATCAGACATTCGGACATTGATCGGCTGCCGCCGATACCGCGATGGAGGGAGCTGAAAAGGCTGATGCGTGAGGCTGCGCGTGCTGCGAGGAATCGTCTCACTAGATTGGGCACCCCACCTCTGGAGGCTCGTCTGATGATTTTTAGATCGGCTGCCAGAGCGGCCCACTTTGATGATCTTGACCTGGCCAGGAAGCTCCCGTCTAAAGCTGCGATTGCGAGGGGCCTCATGAGGATTTAAGAGGGCCCTGTCATCGTGGTATCTCTGATAGACCCAATACGTTTTCGTAGGCAGTATGAGCAGTTGCAACAAGAAGTGCTTGCCAGCCGTCTCGCCAGGGCCCAGGAAGAGGTCCAAGCAGAGTCGACGCCCTTTCTGGAGCGCAAGAGACTGCGTGCGTTTATGAAGGCTGAACGGCGACGGGGGAAGCTCCGGGCTCCGAAAGGAAAGACTCTCCCTCTCCAGGGCCTTGTTGACCCCTCGGGCGGGACCCTCTCCTCCCCTCTCCTCGTGAAAGAAGCGCTCAGAGAGCACTGGGCCCCCGTCTTTGCGCCGAAGTCAGCCCCGTTTAAGCATGTAGATTCGTATCTGTCTAAGCATGTAAAGCAGTTTGACTGGTCAGATCTGAAGCCGCCTTCAGAGGAGCAGCTGCGCAATGCCCTCATCCATGCCTCTCCAACGGCTCCTGGCCCTGATGGGCTCCCGTACTCGGCGTGGAAGGGTGCGAAGTTAGCTGTGCCTGTGCTCCATGGTCATCTTATGGAACTCTTCTCGGGACTCCCTCCCCCTCCCTGAATTAAATGACTTGCTGCTGGCTTTCGCCCCCAAGGGCAGGAAGGTGGAAGACGCGAGCTTTGTGGTTCGCGGGCCTGCCACCACCAGGCCTTTGGCCTTCAAAAGCACTGACGTCAAGATCTTGTCAGCAGCATGCAATCAGTGTCTTAAGCCGACCCTGTCATAGCGACCAGCGTGGATTCGTGGCAGGAGGAAGCTTTCTTGACAACATAACCCTGCTAGAGTCCTCAGCTAGGATTGCCAGCATGCTCCCCTCGGCGGCTACTAACCTCCCTATTATCCTTCTCCTCGGCTTTGGCAATGCTTTCCCCTCTCTGATCCATATGTTTCTCAAGAGGGTTTTAGAGCTGGCAGATCTCCCTGCAGGCTTTCGCCTTTTCCTGCGTGCTACATATGCCTTTGCGACGGCTCGTGTGGCGCTTCAGGGATTGTTGCTCCCGTTCTGCCTAATTGACTCAGGAGTTATGCAGGGTGGCCCGTCCAGTGGCAGTTTGTGGGCGCTGGCGATGGATCCTCTAATCCGGGACATGCGAAGCAGGCTACGTAAGCATCCTGGGTCGGAAGTGGGGGTCTGCGCGGATGATGCGGGGGTGGCGGTGAGGGAGCTGGCGGCACTATCACGACTGTCGGGCACATTGTATGCTGCGCGTCTGCTAGCTGGCCTTTGGTTTAAAATTCCGAAGTGCCAGATCATCCCTGTCTCTGCCCCCCTCTCTCCTCCCAGAGGCGGCGGCGCGCGGGCGCCAGCTGGGCAGCTGCAGCTTGGGGCCGCCGCTGCCGCCGGCCGGCCGCCCGCGGCTGCGCGCGGCAGGCCGCCCTGGGGGCGCGGGATCGGCCCAGGCGCCTGGCGCGGCGTGCGAGTTCGGAGTTCGTGCGCCTCGCAGCGGGGAGGAGGAGGAGGAGGAGGAGGAGGAGGAGGAGGAGGAGGAGGAGGAGGAGGAGGCGGGGGAGGAGGAGGATGAGAAGGAGGAGGAGGAGGAGGAGGAAGGAGGAGGAGGAGGAGTAGGAGGAGGAGGAGGAGGAGGAGGAGGGGAGAGAGGAGGGGGAGGAGGAGGAGGAGGAGGAGGGGGAGGAGGAGGAGAGGGGAGGATGAGGAGGAGGAGGAGGAGGAGGAGGAAGGAGGAGGAGGAGGAGGAGGAGGACGACGAGGAGGGGGTCCCAAATTGCCACCTTGCGAGGGCGACGTGCACGTTCGAGAGGGCGGCTGGCCTTTTCGGCGGCAAACGCACGGGCGGCGCACGGGCGACGAATGCGCGACGCACCTCTTGTTGCGAAGGGAGGGGTCAGGACGCCAGTCGTCTTACTGTGCCTTAAACAGGGGGGTGCCTTCAGGATGTCTTGGACATTGTGCGAGGCCTTACGGCCAGCGCCGCCGACGCAGAAGGACGACGGCGGCCACACCCCCGACGACGGCCGCGACGACAACGACAACGGCGAGCTGATGACCCTGCTGCCATAAGCTCGGGACAGGGGTCGGGCGGTGCACGGAGGAGGAGGAGGAGGAGGAGGAGGAGGAGGAGGAGGAGGAGGAGGAGGGAGGAGGAGGAGGAGGAGGAGGAGGAGGGAGGAGGAGGAGGAGAGAGGCGGAGAGGCGGACGAGGAGGAGAAGGAGGAGGAGGAGGCGAAGGAGGAGGAGGCATAGGAGGAGGAGGAGGAGGAGGAGGAGGAGGAGGAGGCGGAGGAGGAGGGGGAGGCCTTCGAGCCTCGGGATGCCTTCGATGATGTGATCTCGTTTGGTATCGCTTGATGTTCTCTCGGGACGCACGGCGCGGCCTGCAAGTTCGCAGCTCGTGCGCTTCGTAGTGCGGAGGGGGTGCCTTCTGGATGCCTCCGAGCCTCGGGATTCCTTGGATATGTTGATCTCGTTTGATCTCGCTGGATGGCCTCTCAGGACGCACGGCGCGGCGTGCAGGTTCGCAGCTCGTGCGCTTCGTAGTGGGAAGGGGGTGCCTTCGGAGATCCCACGGCGCCAAGGGGGGCAGAACCCAATGCGCCAGAGGGGGGGAGTGAGGGAGGGGGGGGGAGGTCTGGGAGTTTCGGGTTCCAGGTTCCAGGTTTGCGAGCGTGTTCGTCGGTTCTGGGCGGTTTTCCAGCCTCGGGATGCCTTCCATCGGCTACGCCTCGCCGAGTGCGTTCCCGGGGTGCCTGGATCGTCCTGAACAGCTGCAAGAGGTTAGGGGCAACTTTAGGGGGGGCCCTGACTCCAGAGCCGCCGTACTTTGGTTGATGTTTTTGTCTCAGTTTGTCTCGGGAGCGCACCCCAGAGGATGCGAAAGAGTGGTCGGCGGACATCTTCGCGAAAGCATGGGGGAAACAGCGGCGGCAACGTACGGCGGAAGTCGGCATGGACGGAGCCCGAAAAGTACAGCAGAAGTTTCCGCCCTAATTGCGAAATCTCTCAAAATACGGTAAGGGGACAACAAACATTGAACCCCTTCGTCTTCGGCCCCGCATTCGTCCCCCCCCCTCCCCCCAGTTTCAAAGTTGGGTTCGGCCTCTCGGAGGCCCCAGGGGTTCCACTTTTTTTGTCCTCTCACGCCTGTGCTGCCAAATGCTTGAGGCCAACTTTGAAATTGGGGGGAGGGGGGGCGTGGTGTCAAGGGTTCCACTTTTTTGTCCAGCTACGGTAGGTCGGATCCAGAATCAGGGTGGGCGGGCTCGAGGGCTGCAGGAAGAGGCCCGTCGGGTTGGGACCCTCCACCTGTCTTCGCCCCTCATGTTCAGTGCCCTCTCATCTCAGGAGGGGAAAAAACACACAGACACAATTAGTCGTCGATTCCCCCAAGGTATGGGAAAATATGGGAAGTGGGGGGAAGACAAAAGCCCAGAAAATATGGGAAAATATGGGGAATTCTTTTATGTGTGTATTTATTTGTGTGTCCCAGGGCCCCTTCATCATTGTCATTGAGAAGCGCCCCAGCTAAATTCGAGTACGTTGTCTCGCCAGTTGGCGCTCGATCGGATCGCCAATCCGTCGGCCGATAGGGGTCGTGGTGATCGATATCGGGACATCGGTCGGTGGAGTGCTCTGAGCTCGGTCAGGGGGTCGTGCCGGCGGGGGTGGGATCGGCGTCAGGTCCAGCTTGGATCGGTGTGTGGGGTGGGGGGGCGTTGGGTCGCGACGTGTCGTGGGCCAGCCCCCGGGCCTCAGCCCCCCTTGAGCAACCGCCGCGGGCGTGCGAGCCGTGGCAGCGCAGGGCCCGGCCCGGGACGAGAGCCGCGACCGCCGACCGCCGACGCACGGGCTCGACATCCCAGATGTCCGCGTTGGCCTCGCACCACCACGCGGGCAAGGGACCAGCAGTTGCCGTCTCGGGGTGGCCCGCGTGCACGAGCACAGTGGATCGACGCTGACGTGCGGACCGCTTTTGGGGCTCACGAGGGGCCCTGGATCTGGGGCCGTGTCCCTTGGCTCTGGGCCGGGGGCCCGGAGGCCCTCTTCGTGGCCGAGTCTCTCGCCGTGGCTCCGAAGAGCCCCCTCGTTCCTCGTCTTCCTCGTGTTCAGAGCTCCTTGAGGCAGCACGATGACTGTATCGGAGCAGCCCGCGTTCACGATTTTGAGCCTGCCACTCGCGGAGAGCTCGGTTACATCAGCGCGCAGTGGTGTTGCTATCTCCGTGAGTCCCCGCTTGGTCCAGTGGCCAGTGCCGCGCCGCTGTCCATGACGGCTTTTACGGTCCTCCTCCTCCCTCCCCCTCTTCATCCGCTCTTCTCTCCCTCCTCTTCCTCTCCTCCTCCTCCTCTCCTCTCCTCCTCCTCCTCCTTCCTCCCTCCCTTCCTCTCTCTCTTTCCTCCCCTCCTCTCCCTCTCCCCCCTCCTCCTTTTCTCCTCCTCTCCTCCTCCTCCTCTCCTCCTCCTCCTCCTCCTCCTCCTCCTCCTCCTCCTCCTCCTCCTCCTTCCCTCATCCCCCCTCCTCCTCTCCCTCCTCCTCTCCCTCCTCCGCCTCCTCCTCCTCCTCCTCCTCCTCCTCCTCCTCCTCCTCCTCCTCCTCCTCCTCCTCCTCCCCTCCTCCACCTCTTTCCTCCTCCTCGCCTCCTCACCTCTTCTCCCGCCCCTTCCGCCTGCTCCCGCCTCCTGCCGCCCTCTCCCGCCTCATCGAGCCTTCTCCTCCTCCTCCCGCCTTCCTCCTCTCCTCCTCCTCCTCCTCCTCCCTCCTCCCGCCTCCGTTTTATTGTTCCTCTCCTCCTCCTCCTCCTCCCTCCCTCCTCCTCCTCCTCCTCCTCCTCCTCCTTCCCTCCTCCTCCCTCCTCCTCCTCCTCCTCTCCTCCTTCTCCTCCTCCCTCCTCCTCTCCTCTCCTCCACTCCTCTCCCCTCCTCCCGCCTCTCCTCCTTATCATCATCATCATCATCATCATCATCATCATCATCATCATCATCATCAGCAGCAGCAGCAGCAGCAGCAGCAGCATCAGCAGCATCATCATCATAATCATCATCAGCACAATCATCAGCATCAACATCATCATCATCAGCAGCATCATCATATTCATCTTCATATGCATCATCTTCATATGCATCATCATCATCATCATCATCATCATCATCATCAGTATCGTCGTCATCCTCAATATCATCATCATCATCATCAGCATCAGCAGCAGCAGCAGCAGCCGCATCATCATCATCATCACCAACAGCATCAGCATCGTCATCATCATCATCATCATCATCATCAGCATCATCATCATCATTACCACCACCAGCACCATCAACATTATCAACATCGGCATCATAATCATTATCTCCCTCATCATCCTCATCATAATCAACAATATCGTCATCATCATCAGCATCAGCATCAGCATCATCCTCATCATCATCAGCATCATCGTCAGCATCACCATCGTTATCATCATCAGCAGCATCAGTATCAGCATCAGCATCAGCCTCATCATCATCAGCAGCATCATCATCCTCCCTCCTTCTTTCCTTCCCTCCCTCCCTCCCTCCTCTTCCCCCATCCTTCTTCGCCTCCTTCCATCCTCCTTCCTCCTCCTACTCCTCCTCCTCCTCCTCCTCCTCCTCCTCCTCCTCCTCCTCCTCCTCCCCCTCACCCTCACCTTCATCCATCCCTCCTCCTTCTCCCCTCTCCCTCCTCCGCCCCTCGTCCTCCTCCTCCTCCTCCCGCCTCCGTCTCCTCTTCCTTCTCCTCCTTTTCTTCATCATCGTCTTCCTCCTCCTCCCCCTCCTCCCTCCTCTCCTCCTCCTCCTCCTCCTCCTCCCTTCCTCCTCCCCCCTCCCCCCTCACCTTCATCCATCCCTCCTCCTTCTCCCCTCTCCCTCCTCCGCCCCTCGTCCCTCCTCCTCCTTCTCCTCTCCTCCTCGCCTCCCGTCTCCTCTTCCTTTCTCCTTTTCTTCATAATTTTCTTCTTCCTCCCCCCTCCTCCTCCTCTTTTCCTCCTCTCTTCTCCTCTTCCTCTCCTCCTCCTTCTCCTCCTCCTCCTCCTCCTCCTCCTCCTCCTCCTACTCCTACTTCCCTCCTCCTCCCCCTCCCCCTCCCCTCACCTTCCTCCATCCCTCGTCCTTCTCCCCCCTCCCTCCTCTGCCCCTCGTCCTCCTCCTCCTCCTCCTCCTCCTCCTCCTCCTCCTCCCCCGCCTCCGTCTCCTCTTGCTTCTCGTCCTTTTCTTTCTCATCGTCTTCCTCCTCCTCCTCCTCCTCCTCCACCTTCCCCTCATCGTCCGCCATCCCTCCTCCTTCTACCCCCTCCCTCCTTTGCCCCTCGTTCTCCTCCTCGTGCTCCCGCCTCCATCTCCTCCTCCGTCCCCTCATCTCCCTCATCATCGTCTTCCTCCTCCCCCTCCTCCTCCTCCTCCTCCTCCTCCTTCTCCCAGATCTTTCTTCATTCTGGATGGCTCCTCCCTGCCGCAACTCCGGGTCGGTAGGGTGGGCCAGGCGTTGTTTCCGAGACGTTTTCACCATTTATGATCGTGAAGCTGAGAATGTGCCAGAGGTTCACGGATTGAGGGCGGGCCGTTTTCAGAATGTGGTTCTCGCCTAAGTGTCGCGCGAATTCGTCTCACACGTTTGCAAGAGCTTCACGGATGGAGGGCGGGCCGTTTTCAACATGTGCCTCCTTCTGAAACGTCGCGCACATTCGTCTTGCAAGTTCGCAAGAGCTTCACGAATTGAGGGCGGGCCGTTTTCAAACTGTGGTTCTCGCCTTGGCGCCGCGCACATTCGCGTTTCAAGTTCGCAAGAGCTTCACGACTGGAGGGCGGGCCATATTCAAAATGTGGCTCTCGCCTTGGCACCGCGCGCGTTCGTGTTAAACGACTGTAAGAGCTTCACTGGTGGAGGGTGGTTTCTTTTCAACATGTGGTTCTCATTTTCGCGCCGCGCACATTCGTTTCAGCAGCTTGCACAACATTCTTATGTTTGACGTCCATTGTGTTGTGGCACGGCTTAGGATTGACAGGACGCGACAATCATGTTGATTTGCGGTGTTGAAGTCCCAGGAATATGTAGTTTTCTGGGGGATGGTGCTTTGGCATGGCTGCAGATCTTCAGACGGTTCTCTTCCAACGGGGCATTTCCCGCAGTGAAACTATCTCTTTGTAGGGACCTATGAAGAGGGAATTTGGGGGAGGGTTTATTGTAACATCGTTGATGAACCGTGGGTTTACACTTGTCCTCTTCCTCCTCCTCCTCCTCCTCCTCCTCCTTCTCCTCCTTCGCCTCCTCCCCCTTCGCCTCGATTGCATTGCCTTCTTCATCCTTCTCATCCTCCTCCTCCTTCTCGTCCTCTGTCTCATCGCGTTGCGCCTTGGCTCCGCAACAAGCTGGAACGCTTGTCGGCACGGTGGAGAGGGAAAGGCCAAGTTGTGCACACACACACAAACGCACAGGTGGCCACGGAGTAAGAAGAGCTGGGAGGAGTTCTGAGGAACAGAAGCAGGAGGTGGAGAAAGACGGGGAATCAGGAGGAGGAGGATAATGAGGTGGGGATGGAGAGGCTGGGGCAGGAGGAGGCGTTGTAGAAGGAGGAAGAAGAGGGGCATGCGGTCGGGAACCTTGGCTTAGCGTACCGCGCCGCCGGTTCTGGCCCACCACGCCTTGGTGCGACACGCTAACCACGTCCCTGCTCCCAAGCGCCAACCTCCCGAGCATGTCCCAGCCTCCCGTCCCGCAGCGGAGCGACTGCTCTTCGCTTGCAAGGCATAGTGTGTCGCCAGGGCCGCCGCCGCCGCGGCACGCTGCGCAAATGTTCCCTGTCTGTCTTGGTCGAGCAGAGGAAGCAGGCGCAAGAGGAAGAGGAGTCTGAGGAGCAGGAGAGAGGCGCGCCACTGAGAAAAGAGTATGGTATCCTCTAGAGTCTAGATCATCTGGAAGCTCTCTGGAGACCTCCATGGTGGCTGAGAGGCTCTCGCATGCTTCCCGGGGTCCCTCTGAGATTGTTGGGGGCTTCGTGGGCACATTGGGAGCTCCTTGCGGCTCTTAATGGGCTATCTTGGGCGACTCGGGAGCAAGGGAGTACCCTTTTGGGGGCACATCCTGAAAGCCAACATGCACACGAGCCCGGCGCGACCCAAATTAGGGGAAAAGCTTCCTATTGCATGGGCGAAGTATTTGGCATTTCTTGGCATTGCTTTGCATTCGGGGCGGGGAACCCGAGGAGCCCGAGGAACGGACGACGTAACAATAGGAGGCACCCGGGGCAAAGTAACAATGGAGGGCACCAACCTTTGACCACATAAAAACCCTCTGGGCAAGCCGAATGGGGGAAAAACATTCTACGTGATACGGTTGTTGCATATCGGTGTCGTCTGGCTTCAAGACTTGTCCCTGCACGATACTTGGCGTTCGTCTTTTGGCTTGTGGTATGACGGGTGTCCTGGAGACGCATCTGGTCTGAGCCATGAGCACAGCTCTTGTCTGCCCGCCGAGAGCAAAGCCTGCGGCATTCGGAGCCATCGCGGCCAAGCTCGAGCAGAAGCGGTGGCGACCCAGACAGCCCACACCCGTCGGAGCGGATGTGAACTGCTCCGACCCACCGGCGCTGGGCGCCCAAGGAGATGACATTCGGAGGCTTGGAAATGGGCACCAACACCAACACAGGGGGTTGCCTCCACCAGGGGGAGATGATACTAGATTTCGGTGTTGGTGGTAATATTTCGGTCACCTTGGAAGCCAGAATATTACCACCATCACCGAGATCGGGATCTTCTTCCCTCGGTGGAGGCACACCGCCGATCTTGGTGTTGGTGTCAACCTCTCGGCCTGCGAGACATGTCTGCTCGGGTGTTCGAGGCGGCCGCAGAGCAGCTCCCATCCGAGAGCCTCCTTTGGCAGAGCACCCCGCAGGCAGCGGCATGCCGACGGGCCTCGTGACCACGTGGCTGGAGGCGCGGCGGCTCTGCTTCCTGGCCCTCCTACCTCGGCAGGGGCCGGCGGAAGGCAGCGAAAGTAAAGCGAGGGCGGTGTGGCTGGCGGAATCTTCTTGGCATCCCTTGGACGTGTGCATGTTTCCTTCGGCGAGAAGCATCGAGGAGCATCCTTGATCATTTGGCGAAAAAGCCACGCACGAAACCGAAAAAAACACAGGGAATGGACATCCGAGCGATGGCCAGCCTGGGGAGGGAGAAGTTGGCCCCGCCAGTGTGGTCGACGTCGGCGGTCAAGGGTTTCTGGAGTCGGCCACGTGTTCCACGTGGTTCGGAATTTCCCCGGCCGGCAGAGTGTGGTTGCACCGAGCGCGACCGCAGCTTCCATCTTGAGAGGTCGGGCCTTCTGGGCGGCGGTCGCATCCATTGCAGCTAGCAGTATGCTCCCTTTCCCTCCTTTATCCCAGCTCCTTCTGTCGCTCGCAGAAGCGACGGGGGCAGGCATGTGGACGAAATGGCAGCTGTCATCAGCTGTCACACGGAAGCGCGCCACCCCCATACAACACATCTCCAAGAAAATGCCAACAGCAGCATTCGTTTGACGCTTCGTGCATCCCCACCAGCCCATGATGGGCTGGTGGGATAGGCCATCCAGCGACGATCAAACACAGGAGAGTTGGATGGGCAACAAGCCCATGATGGGCACCGATTTCGCACGCAGGGCGGAAATTTCTGCCGATTGTTCAAGCTCCTTTGATGTCGATGTCCGCCCCTGCTTTTCATCGCTGCTTCCGCCCTTTTTTGGAGACAGTTGTGGAATTTTCCAGAGAGTTGTGGAATGGTTCACAAAGCTGTGGACTGTTCAAAGAAGTTGCGGAATGTTCCGTGCGGCAGAAATGTTCGCTATATTTTTCTGAGGCGGAAAGTTCCTCCCAATAAGGAAGTGGTTTGTGGTAAGTGTGCGTTGAATGCTTGGCCCTCTCGGTGGCGTTTTAAGGGCCCGCAGAAGGCCCCCGCAGGGCCCCAAGAGTCCCACGAGGGCCACAAGAGGGCCCCAAGATGTCTCCAAGAGGTCCCGAACTTTAACACAGCACCAGCACCAGCACCACGGGTAACCCAGGCAGCACCAGCAGCATCAACGCCAGCAGCCACAGCAACATCTGTAGCAACAACGAGGGAGGCAGCGTCGGAAAGATGATTCCAAGATGGACCGAACAGGGTTTTGAAAGGATCACGAGATTACCCTTGTCGCCCCAAGATGCCCACTCCTGCTAAGCAATGGTCCCAATATGACCCCAGAGCAACCCTGCGGCCCCAAGAGAACACCGAGACGAACCCATTGTCTTCCGACTGAACTAAGGCTACCGCGCGACCCCGATTTTACTCCGAGATGGCCCCAGAACGACCCCATGAGTCCGAGACGTCTTCGAGATTGCCGCAAGATGACCCCTTTTAGACCCTAGTTGACCCCAAGATTGTGTCAACCTGATTCCAATGTGACTCCGATGCGTTTCTTCCTTCTCCCCTTGCTCTTGGCTTGGGCCGATAGGACGGATGGGGGTGCTGGCCCTCCACCCCTTCGTCGTCCACTTCTTCCTCCACCCCCTCGTCCTCGTCGCCCTCGTCGTCGTCGTCGTCGCTGTCCGCCTGGCCCCGGTGGCCCATACATAGCAGGCAGAAAACCGAATCCCGAACACAAAACCGAATCCATCCATTCTCTGACCCTCTTTTCCGCATCTTTTCAGAGAGCCGACCGAAGTTCGGCGGATCCAGGATCAGGGGTGGCCAGGCACGCCAGTGCACGCGAGAGCACACATCGGACAAAATGCCCGCACGCCCACCATCTCTGACGAACACCAGTCTGACATGATGCACGGCGTGTTCTCTCACAAGCACTTTGCACTCATCCGTTCTAAACAGTGGGAGGCCCACGCGCACCGGACGCGTGTGATCCCCCACGCCACCCCTCTCACGTCACTGCAAGGGCATCGACGGGCGCGCACTCGTGAGCCACACGTGTTTTCGCGGGCTCGCATTGCCTTTTGTGTGGTGTGGTAGAGGGGTGGCCGCCTCGCTTCTGCCAGAGGTGAAACATAGCGTGCGCATGGCTTCTCGGAGCACTGGGAGCTGGTCTGGGCAAGGGGGCCCAGCCCCATTTGAAAAACACTTGCAGGATCGAGAGCAGGAGAGCGTTGACGATGTTTTTTTTTTGTTCATCCCTCGCCCGAACTCCACTTGTAACTAAGAATCCCACCAGCCCCTTCGGGCGTGAGTGGTCTAAAGATGCTTCTTGGTTCATATGTCCTCTGGTGTAGTCCCTGGCGGCGTCCGCCGGGCAAGGAGAGCGTTGGCGATGGGGGAGGAAAACCAAAAAAAACGTATAGTTGAGCGTTGACGACGGGCAAGGAGAACGTTGACGATGCGGGAGGAAAACCAAAAACATAGTTGAGCGTTGACGATGGGCAAGGAGAACGTTGACGATGCGGGAGGAAAACAAAAAAAAACGCAGTTCCTCGGAGGTCCGCGCGGAGATCTCTGGGGAGATCGGCCCGGGGCCCCCCGGAAGGCGGCGCCTCGGCGCCGCCTTCTGGCGCTCTCCCTCGGCGCGCCGGGCAGCGGGCTCTTGGCGCGGATATCCGAGAGACCGGCGCGGACCTCAGAGAAATGATGTGTGTCTCTCGACCACACGTATCTGCACGAACGAAATGGGCACCGAAAGAATGGGTACAATGCCCAACAGCAGTTCCTGTTCATTCTGAACAGGACTCGCTGTCCGCGCCGCCGCGGCCTGTGTCCATTTCAGACAGAAGGCCGCCTGCCCAACAGCGGCCGCTGTTGGTTTGGGACAACATTTGTTGTTGGGCATTGTACCCATTGTTTCGGTACCCATTTCGGGTGTCCAAAACGTAAGAGTGACCCTTCGCCGGAGTGACCTTTCGTGCGGGCTCATCGGGCTCCCCCCATCGCCGAGCGCGATGCGATATAAGCGGCCCGCGCCCTTTGGTTTGGCTCCCTCGCGCCCCCCCAAAAGCTGCGCACCAAAGGTCACTCTTACCCAGGGTCACTCTTACGTCTAGCCGTGTCTCTGCCGCTCGGTGCTCCTCGAGGGGGGAGCTGGGAGGGGTGGCATACTGCTGCGCAGTTCGCCGCTGCGAACCTCCAGCCACGATCTAACTCTTCCAGTGCGGCGGCGGCACCCCGGCTACCATGTTGTCAACGAGGGGTAGTTTGAGAGGGGCCCGTTTGGCGACAGGGCCGCAGTACAATGCTGCCAGGGTGCGTCTCGATGCTTCATGTAGCGAAGGCTTCGGACCTGGGAGTTTTGACGTCGATCGAACACCTTTCGTTGAAGTATTGGGCGGAATCGCTAGTTCGACTTCGGGACGACGGGTTTCGACATCATGTCGAAATCGCTTGTTCGAGAGAGTCCCAAGCGAAAACCACACTTTCGACTTTTTGGGTTACCGAATTACGAAGAAAACTTTTGAAATGCTAAACGGGTTGCCCGAGTCGAAACGACGATTCCGCTGGAGACCTCAGAAATTAGTCGGCCGGAGTTCGGATGTGTGAGATTGAAGTCGAAATCGCGATTCCGCCTTGCATTACCTCCAAATCAAAAATCGAAATCCGTCCGGTTCAAAGTCGGAATGGCGATTACGCCCGTGACTTCCCCCCATCGGACCTCTTCGGACTCGAAGTCGGCATGAGGCGTCGTTCCGCTCGCAGGCTCTGGTGCTCAGTGGCGCAGTGGTCCCTGCGCACCATTCGAGATGGTGTTCGGCATGGCATTGGTCGAGCCACGGATACGGGCCACAACCTTCGTAGCGGCGATGGACCCGCATGGTTGACACGAACGCTGGCTTTGGTCTCGGCAGTGCCTGCTGTCAGCCGCCGAGCGCGATTGTCAAGTGCGCGGCGCTGTTTGCAACGCGACCATACTCCTTCTGAGTCCCATTGGGCCTGCATGGTTGGCATGAACACGTGGTTTATTTCTAAGTGTTCGAAAGTTCTTTGAGTTTCCGGGGGCCAAGATCTTTTTCTTTTCTAATTCTTCTGTCCTGGGCCTCTTCCTGGCCACCAGGGGGCCAGGAACAATTAGAAACGAGCACAATTAGAAATGAACACGATTAGAAATGAACGACATGAACGTGTGTGTTGGTCTCAGCGGTCCCTACGGTCAGCCGCCGGGAGCGGATGTCAAATGCGTAGCACTGCTTGCAGCGCGGCCACAGCTCGCCTGAGATCCCATTGGCCCTGCAATGTTGACCTGAACGTTTGCTGCGGTCTCAGCGCAGTTGTCAAGTGCGCAGCGTTGTCTGCAACGCGACCAGAATTCGCTTGATATCATATTTAAACACCATTGGCAAGCCCGCCTTTGGAAGGGGATGATGGGGCTGGCAGGGGTGGCCCGCTGAACCACCTGCGCCTGCGTGGCCCGCGGCGGCTGCCATCCATGCAGAAGGGGGGGCCTCGCCATTCCATGGGATGTTGTGCTTCTACTGCGTAGTACCCTTCTCTGTTACTCGGACATGCGCGGACGGAGGTAACTGCGGCACTTGTTTGCGCATGCTTCTCGGATGGGCCGTGGGCGAGGCTATATACGGATCTCGCTTCCTCAACCTTGCCCATGTCTCTCGGACTCGCGCATGTTCGCCCCACCCCCCCCTCCCCACGATCACGAAATAACATTCTGAGCTTAGAAGCAGATTCGCAATTCCTGGCCGCCCCGTCAAGCTTTTGGAGATGGGTGTGTGGTTACTTTGGGTTACTTTCCAGAACGTCGAAACTGATGGGAACTGCCATGCTAGCACGGGGCGGGATGTTATTCCAATAACGCTTGGGGGCCGGTTCTGGCTGCCAGCCGAGGGATGCACACGCCCAGGCTTCCCGCGGGCGCACTCTGGCGCGAGGTGTCCTCTCACGCGCGCCTTGGCGGACACCCTTTGAGAACCGGGGGCGGGGGGCCAAGGATTGAAAGTGGTGCAAAGGAAGCAGGCGCGCCTGCCGGCGGGCCCCAGAACAGGGGGCCAGACGAGGGCGCGCAGGAGCGATGGCAACAGCAGGCCGGGGAGCAGGCGGAGGGAGGCACGAGGAGAACCCTGAGATCCGACGTTGCGAGAGATTGCAGCATCGCGCTTGTCGACCAGAGTCCCAGACTCGGTTTTCTGGCGGCTTTTCTCGAGCCATATTGTCTTTTCATGGCCCTGGGGCCCAAAGCCGGGCGAAACGCCTGGCGCGCAGAAAAGGATGGGAGAAGGGGCGGGCAAGTTGGGCAGCACAACGAGGCTGACTGCGGGAGAGGAGGAGGGCAGGAGAAGCAAACCAGGCAGCGCAAGGAGCCAGGCAGCAGATCGGCGCAACTGCTGCAGCTGTCGAGTGTGTACATTTATATATACATAGCACCCCGCAGATGCGGATAAGAGTGAGGGGGCGGTGGAGACGTCGGCAGTCTGCGAGACTCTGGAGAAGTCCGCCGCAGGCGGCAGAGTTCGCCGATTTTTTCGTTAAGCCAATGTGAGTAGGTCGCGGGTGGGTCGCGGGTTGGGTCGCGGGTGGGGTCGCGGGTGGGTCGCGGGGTGGGGTCGCGGGTGGGTCGCGGGGTGGGGTCGCGGATTGGATCGCGGGTGGGACGACGAAAACAAACAAACAAACAAATACACAAACAAACAAACAAACAACAGCAACCACTGCACCACCAACAACAACAGCACCAGCAACAACAACAGCAACAACAACAGCAACAACATCAACAGCAACAACAACAGCAACAACAACAACAATACTAACAGCAACACCAGCAGCAGCAACAACAACAGCAACAACAACGCAGCAAGCATCATCCTCACTACGGATAGTTACCCACTTCAGCCACGTACCTAGGGACAATGAATGACTGTTCGGCCCCTCGCTCTGATACATATAGAGAGAGATAGAGAGAAAAAAGAGAGAGAGAGACAAAGAGAAAAAGAGAGAGAGAGAGAACAAACACAAACATGGAAACATAAAGAGAGAGAGAGAGAGAGAAACAACAAACATAGACATAGAGACAGAAAGGGAAAGAGGGAGGGAGGGAGGGAGGGAGAGAGAGAGAGAGAGAGAGAAAGAGAGAGAGAGAGAGACAGACAGACAGACAGACAGACAGACAGACAGACAGACAGACAGACAGACAGACACATTCACATTCACATTCACATTCACAGACACAGATACAGGCACAGACACAGACACAGACAGACTGACAGCAGCGCGCTGGTTGCCCATCGGCTCACCTGGGTTGGAGCTCCCGAGGTTGACGCTTTCTTGTGAAGAATTGATGCGGCAGGTTCGCGCCACATTGACTTGGCGGCATCCCAACGATGGGCGCTCAGGACTGAACGCCGCCAGTGGTCGGGAATCGGCCGTTATCGAACGATCTGCGCTAGTGGAAAACCGCGACCGTTCAAGATTGAACGATCGCGGACGTCCGCGCGACGCGAACCTGCCGTATTTGGGCACCCCGGCCCTTGGCTGGGCCGTGCGCGGGCCCCTTGCGGAGGAGAAGGGCTTCGGCTTCATCGCGCCCGACGACGCGAGCCTGGGGGACCTCTTCGTCCACGTGAGCGAGCTCCGGGACGCGCGTTCGAACGCGCTGACCCGGGGGGACCGCGTGCGCTTCGAGGTCATCCGCAGAGGAGTTTGCGTGCGCCGTCGATCCTCGACCCGGGAACGGCACGGGTGCATAGCAATTCGGCCTTCGGGGCCGGAAATCTATGCACCATGCAGCGTTTGAGCGGGGCCTGTATGGAGTCCAAACGGTTTCTGAGGCAGGAGCCCTGTGCCTCCCCCTCTCCTCTCTGCACGCAGCCCGAACGCATTTTTGTCCAGCTCGCAGGCTCCACGCTTTGAAGTCTGTGCCCCCCCGCGCGGTGGCAGAATCCCTGTTCGATCGGACCCTGGTGCACCTGGCATCGCTCGGACGTGTGCATTTTTTTCTCGGCGGGAGCCATCGAGGACCATCCTGGACCATCGAGCAACAAAAACACGCACGACACCGAAAAGTGCACGGGAAATGGACGTCCGAGCGATGGCAAGTGCATGGCACGGCATCGCTCGGACGTGTGCATTTTTCCTTCGGCGAGGACCATCGAGGAGCATCCTTGATCATTTGGCGAAAAAACACGCACGAAACCAAACAAAAACACAGGGAATGGACGTCCGAGCGATGGCCAGATGAGTGCCGTCCTCGCAGGTGAAGTATAACCGGGAGAAGGGCAAGAACCTGGCCATCGGGGTGACGGTGGAGCGGAACGCCGCGGACCGCGGCGGCAGGAGGCCCCCTGCGGTGCGACTTCTTTGGAGGGGGCAGCCGCGCGAGGTCGGCCGCCCCCATGTCCCTCGGTGGTGGGCAGACCTCCTAATGGAGGATGACGATTAATAAATGACCGGGGGTCGTGTTCACGCGGCGGCGCCCGGGATGACGATCAGAAAAAACCGGCCGCGGGCTGGAAAATTATTTCTTTAATCGTTCTCCTCCAGTCTGAAAAGTGTGCAGAAATAGCAGAAAACTATTTGTTTTAATCGTTCTCTCCCATTTTTTTATTAGCCGCCATCCCGCATTACCCTGACACGTCGATTGAGGAATTGGCCGATTTCGGTTCGCGAGAGGGCGTCGCGGCCGTCGTTTTCGCGGGTCCAGGTCCGTCGGTTTCGGTCCCAGGCCGTGTTTTCACGAAGGGGAGGTTTGCTAAAGGGAGGGTTGTCCACCGCCGACTCCCCATCCCCATCACCTCCGCCTCCTCCCTCTTCCTCTCCCGCCTCCTCCCCGCTCCATTCCCGCTTCTCCTCCTCCCCCTCCTCCTCCATAACTCTTCCTCCATATATGTACATGTGCGGGTATATGTATACATATATACAGATGAACACATATATACACATAAATATATACAATATGTATATATACACATACATGCATAGAACTTCTTGCCGCACCCTCGGACGAGTTGGTAGGGCGGGTGTGGCGCCATGCCTTATATTTGAAGCTTGGAAATTGCAGTTGCTTCAAGGATGCTCTCGCCGATGCGCCGGGAACATTCGTATTAAAAGGTTCAACAGCTTCAAGGATGGAGATAAGGTCCTTTTCAAAATATGGCTCTCGCCACGCGCATGGGTTTGAAAATCTGGCAACGGTTTCAAGGATGGAGGGCGGGTCCTTTTCAAAATGTGACGTTCGCTTTCGCGCCGCTCTTGGGCTTCGCTTGGGGCCCTCATGGGCCCTCTTGGAGCTCCTGTGAGGTTTCGGAAAGCCATGGGAAGCGGGAGCGGGGTGACACCGACGAGGCGTACCCCCAGACCTGCAACCGCATTCTCCGGGAGACGATTATCAAGGCTGGGCTGGCCGACGTCGACGTCTACGTGCTGAGCAGGATGCACGACTACACGGGCCACCTCGTCCGGGCCATTCGGCGGGATCCTGAGCATATCCGCCACAGGGATTCCGAGTGGAAACGCAACATGACGGACACCATCGGTCATCAGGGCCACCCAGGCCGGTTTGCCCCATGGCGTTGGGAAAGACAATGCGATGCTTATTCTGCCGCGCAAAACTTGTCTTGGATGGATACTGCTATCGACCGAGAAGCTTGGCAAGCCCATCTGTTCTCCTGGGTCGCGCACATGATGGGGCACAAACTGCTGAACGCCATTGTTGGAAATCTCTGAATCTACATAACTTACAGGTGGTTTGAATACTCATTGTCGTCCAGAGGTGTATACTTCGTTCTCCTGAGCCGAGCAGTTTAGTGAAGCAGCGGTAGGAGCTTATGCTCACACAGGCCGCAGTAGTAGTATAATCACTCTGGGCGGAACACCGGCGGCGGTGAGCATGCGCTTCATGGCCTTCTTGTTGGCGTGAAACCATCGCATATGTAGGCGTCGGAGAACGCGACGAGACACTGCCTCGCTGTTCCTGAACAGCGCGCGCCTTGCCGAGCCCAAGTCCCAGCTCGACCAATCTCCGCCCATGGCCTGCTCTTTTTCTGGTGCCGCTGGTGCTGGAGCAGCGGCAATCTCACCTCCGTCTGGCACGTCTTCAGCATCCACAACTCCGTCCGGTAGCGGTATTCCAGATCGCGGAGCCGAGTCGTTGGCCGCTTCTCGGACTGGGCGTCGCCAGCCAGGTGGTTGTGGACCCACCTCGGTCGCCCACCTGCATTGTCCAGCGACAAGCGTATGACCTGGCGCTGTCTCTGGCCTTCCTCGGGCGCATTGTTGACACCTCCAGGTCCGCACTCCAGGCGTCGCCAGCCTGCACTCTCCAGGTAAGCGCGTGTGTGCCACGTGGGTGCCGTTGCACGCCCTGCAGCTCCATTCAGAGTGTGCTCGCCGTCCCGCACGCGCTGGACGAACTCTGGCTTCAGCTGGAGGCCCGGGAGCTTCGCTTTCGGGAGTCGCCGCCACCGCGGGCGCTGGCTGCGCCACGGGGATCGAGTCGTCTGTCCTCTTGGCGGTGATGCGCCTCCGTGCTGCTGGTCCTGGCGCGGCCGGAGACGACGGGTCGGCAGAGCCCGCCGCGTCCCAGGGCGGCTGCGCCCACGGCGGCCACCACGGTTCCTGCTTCTCCGCTGGCGCCGCTGCAGCAGCCCCAGGATAGGCCGCCTCGCTCTGCGGGTAGTGCGTCACCTCCTGGTTCGCCACCTCGGAGATGTAGTCCTCGATGCCGTTCGCGATGGAGACTGCGAAAGACCAGGGCCACAGCCTGGCCCGCTCCGTCTCCTCTCTGCCTTCCATCGTCTCGTGCTCATGTCCGCCGTCGCACTGAAACATTGCCGTGTGTCGTAGTAGAGCCTCGTCTGATGCCCAGAGCTCCGTCCTCTTCCTCATCTCCACTCCGGTTGAGCTTCTCAAGCCTGCCATGCACTGATCCACCATGGCGTACAAAACTCCAGGGTACACCGCAACTCGTCGCCACGGTGGTTCATGATACAGCTTGGATCCAGCCAGACTCTCGTTAATAAAACCTCGTCCGCGCTCCAGCCGATAGAGGGCCACCTCTCCGCACAGGATGGCCAGCCGCTGGCATCTCTCGTAGCTCTCCATCCAGCTGTCCCTGGAGTTGAACACGTTAATGCTCGAGAAGCGGCCGTAGGCCGTAGGGAGTACAGGGAGGAGCCATTACCACGACCATCACACCACGCTCTAAATAGCCCCAGAGGGACCACTGTTCGTCCGCAATCCGAAGATCTGAGCCGCACACGACAGCGAAATTAGGTCCGACTCGACATTTCCTGCGAACGCAGATGCGACTAACGTAGCCCCTTCCCCCACAGATTTCCAGAACGTCCACTCCGGACGTCGTCTCAGCGAAAAAGGCGACAAGATATGTGAGATTGGCGGCCTGACGGACTCCCGCCTTCGCACCACGTAGCTCCATCGTCGCTTGCGAGTCCGCAAAGACGAGAAGCATAGCATCCACCATCGTAAAACTCTTCCTTTGTGAAGAGCACGAGGTATCTTAGTACGTCTCGTATTGTAGATCGCGAAGAGCTCACTGCTCATGCCCAGCCCCTTGATGGAATCACCGCAGTCATCGAAGTGATTCTCAATCTCGGAGTTCTTCCTCTTAGCTTCTTTCGGCCGGTCGACCAGGGCCTTCATCGTGGCGCGCATCCTGGCCTCGGTCGGGTATGAGCTCTCCTCTTGGTGGACGTCCGTAGTCGCAGCCGGCTTGGTTCTCGACTTTGATGGTGAACGGTTAACCTCAATAGCGAGGGCGCCATTGATCTCCCGAACCATGGCCACCACCACCATGCACTGTAGATGTTGCTCGTCTCGTTGCTGCTTCCGCTGGTCGCTGCCTGATGAGCTCCTCCAGTCGCTTTTGTGCCGTCGTCCCTTGCCCTGGCACACGCAAGGCTTCGCGCTGACCAGGAAAGACGCTTGAATGCGGTCGACCCGGTCGCTCCAGCCTTGCTTGCCAGACTCGTCTGGAAGAGAGGGCACGTCGAAGGAGCACCAGTGGATGTCCGCCTCGTGGAGTACCTCCGTCCGCAATCGCACGGCCGTCGGATCTGCCCACGTAGCGCTGCCACGTTCAGCGATCAGCATAGCGGCCCCGCCTCCGGCCGCTTGAGCTCGAACGCACTCCTCAGGACACCGTAGACGTTGTTGTGGGCGCTGTCCTTGTTCGGCTCCACGGCGCCCAGGCAGATCTGCCCAGAGCAGTCGAAACCGTCCTTCCGTAAGCTGCCGCGTGAGGTCTCGGAATTCTTTACCGTATACCTGCTCGTATGCCAGCACTCGAGCGAGCGGTCAGCCTCCTTCTCTTGCAGCTCTCGTCGTCGTGGCCAGATCGAGACGTTGACCCAGGACCTGCACTTGTTGCGGCGTCGCCTGATGGCGTCCAGCAGCTGCTCCGGCCGCCGCGACCAGAGCCCTGTACCCTCATTGGTGCTCGAAGGTTGCAGCCAGCGGCTCATCCTCGAAGCGCGCCTCCTTGAGAACCGTCTCCTGCTTGAGCGCCGCCGCGGGCTTGGAGGCGGCTGCCGCCCTGGCTCTCGCGCGGCACGCCGCTCCCCGCCCAGAGCTGCCCAGTGCAACTCCGTATCCCGTGACAGCGGGACCTTGGCTGCCTTGGTCCTTGGGCTTCATCCCGTTCTCGGTCTCGGCCATCACGAAGTCGAGCTGTTTGGGCCTCGGTTGCAGCTTGTCGACCATTAGTACCCCGTCGCCTTCGTCGCGGCAACCTCCTTGAATTTCGAGCACGGGAGAAGCCAGTGCCCGCTCCTACTTGCCTTCGGGTGGTAGCTCCTCGCACCGGCAGGTAGCGACAGCTCTCGACGTCCAGGCCCGCATAGATGTACAATTCCAGGGCCGCACTCCATGATCGCATCAATCTTCTCCAGGGAATTGTTTCCAAACAGTGCTGGGACGTCGCTGTCGGGGATGTTGGACGCCGTGTACGAGTCCAGGTTGCCGGTGCCTTGGCTCTCTTGGCTGATCTCCTGTGTGCCGATCGGTAATCGCCATTGCAGGTGGCAGTAGTCGGGGCCCTGTCCGACGCCGTTAACCTCTCGGGTTCGTTCAGCATCATCTCTTCTCTTCGGTGTTGTGGGATGCCTTGGCTGCCTGCTGCTTCTTGGCCCACAGATACCCTACGAGGTTCCCGTGAGCTCCAGGGTCGACAAGGATGTCCATTTCCCCGTTGTCAAACCTCGTCCGTTCATCGCCGAGGTAGTTGGTCTCGCTCTCCTTGTTCAGCGTCCAGACAACCCCGTGGAAGTCCTTCTCGTTGTCGGCGAAGTCGATGCTCTTCTTCTGGTCGTAGCCCTCGCGCTCGACCTCCTCGTCCAAGTCACGCTTCTCCTCGACGTCGAAGTAGCTCTCAAACTCGTCGTCGAAGATCGAAAGAACCACCTGCTGCTCTGCGACGACGGCCGCGTGAGTATCGTCGCCGGGTGAACTCGAGACCTGTCCCCAGCTGGCCGCCGTGCCGTTCGCGCTCGGCGGTGTGACCGACGCTTTCGGCAGAGCTGCTGTGAAAGTGAGGCCGCCGATGCTAGAGGCCTCCTGCTGTGGTTCCTTCTCGTGGACGTCAAGCCTGCTCGGTCCTTTTGGCAATTGTCGGTGTCGCTGTCGGCGCAGCTGCAATCGGTAAGACCATGCCTGACGGCGGGGCTGGAGGACGTCATGGCTTGGCCCCAGCGGTCTCTCCGGCAGGCGTCAAGATAGTAGATGGACCAAGTGTTTTGTCGATTCCAAAGGTTGGCTTGTCTGGCGTGAGCTCTGGGGTGGTCGTCATGTTCCTCGTCTCGCTCACGCTCGGCACGCCCACTATAGGAAAGGCTGGTCCTCCACTCGCCGAGGATGCGGGTCCGCTCGGTCTCGAAGGGGGTTCCCAAGCAGCGCTCGGCAGGACTGCCTCGTGTCCGTCCTCCAGCTCACGTCGATCTTCAATCGCCATCTTCGACTCTGCCACAGCCGGTGCGATCACAACTCCAACAAATCCTGTCGAGCTTGTCACGCTCGCCTTGCTACCAGCGGCTTCTGGCGTCTCGTTGGTCACGATGCTCTTTGCTGCGAAGACGCTGATGGCTCCAGAGCCGTAGGCTGGTGCCGATGGTGCGCTCGGAAATGTCGCGGCCGCCGTGGATGAGTTCGCCGCAGCGCCTGCGTTGAATCCAAACCGTGGTACTCCAGCGCTGGCTCCCGCAACCGGACGAGGTCCGTCGGTGATGAATGATCCTTTCCCTTTCGATTTCCCGCCTTGACGGCGCGGGCAGTCCTTCACCAGATGGAACTCGCTTTCACACCTTGCCATCTCGACCAACCGGATTGCGTCTGCCTTTTCCTTCGAAGTGGTAACCCTTGCCTCCATGTCCTCGCTGTCCGAAGGCTCCTCGGAAAGGTATCAGTGATCCTTTTCCGCTCTTACCTTTATTGAAACGCTGGAAAAGTTGGGGTCGTCCTGTGAATCTCCTCCAGCGCTTCATGTGGAATGCGTAGTTATGGTAGAGGTACTGCTGGATCACATCGTCGTCATTGCCCATGGTGCCAGGGAAATCCGATCCGTCCAGGTCCTCGCCGTCGTCTTCGTCTGTGTGCGTGTCGTTATCTTCGGCGTTGTCTGAACCCAGGTTGGCCCACGGGTCGGATGAACCTGCCGTCGACGACCATGGTACCGAAGGACTCCATCCCGATCCTTGGGCTTCTTGAGCGGCAGGGTAAGCTCTGGCAGGCGTCATGCCCCTTCCCGTTCAAAATCCAAGGCCTCCGTCGTGTCCATCACCTTGCTGTCCTCCTCCACCACCGAGGTTGAAGGTGGGGAAGAAGAAGTTGCCGCATCTATAGCCGCCTTTGCCACTGCTCCTGTTGACTGCCATCGGCCCCTTCTCCAAGATGTATCCGTAACTTCTGATGTACTCGACCAATTCGTTGAACTGCCGCTCTGTCCTGGGTAGGTGGCCGCGGAAGTGAATGAGCAATTCGTTCCGTTCTTGAGAGCTGCAGTTGAGAGCGTTCAGCAGCATCCACGCGTAGCCCTGCAGGCCCATGTTGAATCCTCCCAATGTCGTTGCCCTCCTGCGTGTAACCTCGAACCTCGATAGCGTCTGGTCTATATTCTCGTGGCTCTTCCGATCGAGTTCCAACAGATCATCGGTCGCAGGCAGCTCGTTCTCGTCTCCCAGCGCCGCGAACGACTTCGACAGTACAAGTAGAAACAGCTGGAGACCACTCGGCTGCCTCGCTCCGTTCCCGTCGCCTGGGTCTGCGAATGCTCCGCCACGTAGCTGCTCCCGTGGTATCTCCCTCGCCAGGCTGCGTGCCGCGCCGCCCACATCGTCACGCCCGTGAGCCAGAACCTGAACGGGCAGGCCCTGTCCTGCTCAGGACTCCACGCAGGCGGAACCTTCAGGGAGCCCATCACCTCGAGCAGGACGTTCTCCATCTTGTCCAGGAGGAGCAGTCCAGCCAGGGGCAGTATCTGGAGATGGCCGGCCAGAAGCGGACCCCGTAGTCCGAGCCGTGGCTGCTTTCTACCTTGGATGGAAACCACCCGCTCGCCGCTGGTCACCTCGATGACCTGCGTGTGGCTGGAGACGCCCAGCCCTCGTCGTGCAGTCCATGGCGGACCGAGGCTCCGCTGTCAAGTCGAGAGGCCTTTCCGACTCTGGCGCCACAGCCGCACCAGCTCTCTCGATGTCCGCGCCCTCGGGCGCAGCCCGCGCCGCCGCGCGCAGGCCTCAGTCGCTCGGCCTTGAGCCAGAGCAGCCGCAGCGGGTCGCCATGCTCGCCCGTGCTGCCCTTGCTCCCCACGTCCCACCCCCAGTTCTCGATTTCCTCCTCGACTTCCTCCTCCTCCTCCTCCTCCTCCTCCTCCTCCTCCTCCTTTCGTTTCACTCCTCCCAGTCATGCCAGCGGGATCCCCTTCGTATTCTGGCTCGCCTAGCTTCGCACTTGAAGGCATAGATTATCAGTTCTTCTCCCGCTGCTGTCAGGACACTCTGGACTTGATGCTCGGCTCTCGTCTCGGGCCGGCCTGTCCAATCAGCACAACCACGCCTGGTGCGGAGGAGGCGCCAGTACCTTGCGGGCACCAGCGCTCCTCCTGTGATCCTCCCCTCCCTCACCCTTACCCCATCACCACCATCCCCGTTGTCCCAGTGCCTTCTCTAACCCCGCCCTTGCCCCAGCCAGTAATCCAAACGCTTCCCCTTCGCCCCTCGCCTCTCGCACGCGCGCTCCGGCACCTTCCGAGAGTTGGCCACGCATTCAGGCCAGCTTGATTTGGGCTCTCGAGCTTTCAGATTGTGTCCGGCTGCCCTCCAGGTGCAGTATCGTCGACGTTTGTTGTTGACCAGCCACCTCGATTTGCGCCAAGCGGAGCTCCCTGTGAGCAAGGGATAGTTCGAATACTTAAGATGGGGGCCAGGTTGGGGTGCAGAGAGAGATGTTTGTTCCCAGAGTCCTTCGGGTCTCTGAGACCTCACAGGTGTTTTAGAGGTGAGTGCGCCTCTCTTGGGGTGCAGCGAGGAGCTTCTTCGAAATTTTGACAGCTCATAGTGCGTACCATGCTTGGGCCAGGGCCGTGCTCCGTGGCTCCTCAGACCGCACCGGGGTGCAAGACAGGCGCAGGCCCGCTGCTGGAGCGCCAAAGCCTTTTGATACGCACGACTCCACGCGCGTGGAGCATCTTCCCCAGGCCCTGCCGCTTGCCGGTGCACAGGTAGGCAGACAGGCAGCAAGGCAGGCGAACAGACAGACAGGCAGGCATGCTAACCCCCCAAAGCCCAGGCATCGGCCCTCAGAGTGCCAACCTTGGGAGTTGGGGACAGCCAGGCCTGCTTGCGTGCCCTCTCCTGCATGCCTGTCCGCATTTTCCCCCCCTCTGCTGCAAGCGCCTGGCGGATGGTGCTCGAATCGCTGGACCGCCAGGCAGAGGCGCCACGACAAGCTCGAATCTGTTCAGTCCCAGATCGCCCCCCTACGATCGACCTTTTGCAGCTCTATTCGCGTGAGCTCCCGAAGCGTGTTCTGACCCCAGAAAAAATAGAAATCACCTTTCTTCATAATTCACCTCCGATCGCCCGCGAGATCTTACATAAGAAAAGGATAACCAACGAAACTCATGTTTTCTTAAGAAAAAATGGTGTGCCTGCAAGAGCGTGAGATGTGCTTACACTTGTAGATTGCTGAGACCCTTTACTTTTGAGACCTGCTCTAGTATTCGAGTCAGTTTAGAAAATGTCCGCCCACATTGCACAAGGTCAAATGCCACTGCGTGGTTGAATTCTGAAGGCATCCGCTCTTGTTTTGTTCTGGAGGGAGCAAGTGAAGCGTTTTCTTGATACCCTGTTTATGGGCGGCTGGAAGGATCCCCTGGCCCCGACCTTGAAGGGAAAGAACAGGCTGTCGTACAGGGGTTCATGCAAGGAGGGAAGGGAAATATTCCCTAGTCAAGAACAGGTTTCAGGGCCCAAGGGCTGTTACGAGTTGATCCCACCTTCTGATTTTCTGTTCCTCTCTGTCTGCCTGTCTGTCCGTCCGTCCGTCCGTCTGTCTGTCTGTCTGCCTGTCTGTCTGTCTGTCTGCCTGTCTGTCTGACTGTTTGTCTGACTGCCTGTCTGCCTGTCCGTCTGCCTGTCGGTCTGTCTGTCTGTCTGTCTGTCTGTCTGTCTGTCTGTCTGTCTGTCTCTTTGTCTCTCTCTCACTCTTCTTCTTGCTGTATATGCAAAGAGACGTATCGGTACACAGACTGCGATGCTTCTATATCCTTCTCTTCGATCCCCTCCCCCACCCTTCTGGCGTAGGGGCGATCGCGGTGACAGCCGCAGCCGGAGGAAGCCCAGCCGCAGCCGCAGCAAGAGGAAGGCCCGCAGTCGGAGCAGCCGCAGCCGCAGCAAGAGGAAGGCCCGCAGCAGGAGCGGCAGCCGCAGCCGCAGCAAGAGGAGGTCCAGCCGCAGCCGCAGCAAGAGGAAGTCGAGCCGCAGCCGCAGCAAGAAAAAGGTGCGCCCCCTCCCGCTGTCCTCGCCCCCCCCCTCCCTCGGCCGCGCCTCGGCTGAAGAGGCCGTAAGTCCGGGGGGACGGGAAACGCTTGGCGATCCGCGTGCTCATCCCCGCGGGCCCATCCATCTCGACGGCTTTGGGCGAGCCGGCCTGGTCGGGGAGCCGCAGGATCAGATTACAGCAGGAGACGCTCAATCAGTGGATGTTCTGCTATGCTCGCATGTATTCCACGCCTGCTCGCCGCAGCATGCTGCCTGACTCCCTTCTCCCTGTGTTCTCTTCTCTCCACCTTATATATACATATATGTATATATGTATGTATGTACATGTATTGTCTCCCCCGTCGCTCTCCCTCTCTCACCCCCCTGATCTACAGTATCATATATATATATATATGTGTATACAGATGTGTGTGTATGTATGTATGTATGTATGTATGTATGTATGTATGTATGTATATATATATATATATATATATATATATATTCCCCTTCTCATATTTTCACAAGCCGGGGGGGGTGGGACCCCCCCCTCCCCCCCCTCCCCAAAATCAGACCTCCAGCATCCAGGGTGTCCGGGCCCACTAGACACCGTTGCCGAAGGTCCCCCGGCTCGTCCCGGACCTCCCAGGGCGTTTCACCGGGTCTTGCCAGCAGACCCCGAGCGATCAGAGCGGTGATCAGAGAGGATGAAGAGAGACCCAAGACAGCACAAAAGCGTTCCAAGAAAGACCCAAATGGCCTCCAGAGGCCCCCAAGACGGCCCAGGAGGCCCTCAACAGACTCCCAGAACGCAAAAATCGCTTCATTCCCATGGAGAAACGTGCATTATCAGCATATTCGCTGTTCGGGTCTTGGCAGCGTCCAAAACAGCCAAATAGGCCTCCAGTATCACCCCAAGGCGGCCCAAGAGACCCCCAAAAGAGCGCCTCTAGACGGCCTGGATGGCCCCAAGGCTGTCAAAAGAAGCCCCAAACGGGCCGAAAAGAAACCCAACAGGCCCTCACAAGGCCCCCAAGAGAAGCCCAAGAAGGGTATGGGAGGCCTCCGAAAAGGCCGTGGGAGGCCACCAGGAGGGCCCACGTCCCACGTACCCCCTTAAGGTCCCCAGAGGGCCCAAGCTCCCCAACACGGCCCAAGATGGCCCCAGGACGGCTCGAGAGGGCCCCGATCAGGCCCACCAGGGGTCTCCAACAAGGCCCACACGGCGTGCTCCACCAAACTGACCCAGATCCCGGTTTCGCAACCACATTTTTAGGAAATCTGTTGCGAACCCGGGATCCGGTGCATTCCCCAATCATTATATCTTTTCGCGTGCCCCGTTGCGACCCGCTGCAATATGACATCCTCGGCTTGGCATTGCTTTGTGCTTTGCGGCATTGCTTGACATTGCGTCCGTTTGCTTGGCATTCATTCGCATGGCTTGCCATTCCTTCTCGTTGCGCTCTGGGGCACCTAAGCCACGAGCCGGCCAGTGTGCGAGCCTACGATGAGGCTTTTTGTCGCCAGTCACTGCCAGACATTTCTGCATGCGTGAACGTACCCATGAACCCCCCCGACGGCGGCATCTTTTTCCCTCCTCCTGCTCCTCCGCTGGGTCCTCCTCCTCCTCCTCCTCCTTCTGCCGATCCACCACCTCGTCCACTCTCCCACATCCGCTTCCCTCTCCTCGCTCCCCGAGGCTCCCTCCCTCCGAGCCTTCGCCCTCCACCCCGGCGCCTCTCGGGTGCCCCCTCGGAGGCCCAGGGAGGGGCCGGGGGCCTCCCGAGCTCTCGGAGACGTCCGAAGGCCACCGCGGGGAAGGGGCCAACGCTCCAAGGCCACCAGGGATGGCGCGAGCGACCAACAGATGCAAAGCCTCGAGGGCCAAGGTGCATGGCGCGAAGCGCCAATGCGGTCTTGTATACATATATGTATACATGTATATATATACATACATATGACCAGCCCCCTTGCGCCCCTAGCCCCATCGAGGCGTTCTTTCCTTCTCTGTGTCTCTCTCTCTCTCTCTCTTTCTCTCTCTCTCTCTCTCCCTCCCTCTCTCCCTCCCTCTCCCTCTCTCTATTTCTTTTTCCCTCTCCCTCCTCGTCCTCCTTTTCTTGCCTACTCCTCCTCCTCCTCCTCCTCCTCCTCCTCCTCCTCCTCGTCCTCCTCCTCCTCCTCCTGCTCCTCCTCCTCATCACAAGGGTATCCTCTCGGTGCATCAGAGCGCCGAAGTCTCACGTAAGGAAATGTACTCAGGAATTTCAGTACTGGCCAGGACCCAGAGCTGTTTTGCGTCCCTCGAGATAGGGAAAGTCAAGGCCCACCAGGACCTTTCTTCCCTGGTGGTCGGCTCGAGGGACTGGTTTGTTGCCAAAGGTAATGACTGGGCGGACAAGGTGGCCAAACAAGCGGCCGCCAGAATCCCCGCCCCGTCCCAGGGAGAAATCGAGCATTATAAAGAATGTCGCAGCCGAGTTCAGAGGCTGGTGAAGTATGCTGCAGAGGCTCTCTCCTTGTGGGCCCCACTCGTTCCGAAGTCGGGCAAGAAGGCCTATGAGAAGCCCACCCAGAGTTTCAATCCCCCAGTTGGGGCAGCGGGAGCAGTCAACCAGTGGACTGCGCCACCCCCGCCCCCTGGGGGTCGTCCTCGGCGTGCTCGAGCGTGCCGTAACCCCCAGGGCGTGTCGAGACATCAGTGGGCATGGCTTAATAATCATTGGCTGTGCCTCGCCTGTCACACCCGCGCCCGCACGGACAGCACTCGCAAGACCCGCTTGCGAGAAGCATGCCCAGGCAATTCAGTCATGTTGTCTATGTTAATTAGGGACCCCCAGAAGCACCAATTAATGATTTGTGATTACCTTGATGTTGAGTCCTTCCTAGTCGTTTGTAAGAGGTGCGGCCGCTACAGCGACAGCAACCTCAAAGGACTCAAAGGTGAATGTAAGGAGCGCTTCCAAAGCAAGTTCTCCCAAGGTGCGTGGTCCCTCCTGGCAAGCGGCCGTCATCCCAAGAGCAGCATGAAGGCCCGTCCCCGACTTTCCCTGCCCATCCCTGCGGCCCAGCTCCTCAAGGAAGGAGGGGCGACGTAGGGAAGAAAGCCAGCGTAAGAGGAGAGCGGATGTAACCCCCAGGTTTCGGTTAGGGTCGGGTCGGCCTAACCCTAGCCTCCCTCATCAGCATGTGATGGTCCCCCTCCTCCTCCTCCTCCTCCTCCTCCTCCTCCTCCTCCTCCTCCTCCTCATCATCATCATCATCATCCCCCTCCTCCTCCTCATCTTGGTGATTGTTCATACGTTTGCGTTCTCCACCTGGGATGCGAGAGGGGGGGGGAGGGCGTCCTGGACGGGTGTCGGGGGCCCAACAGCTACGGTTTGAGGCCCGCTTTTGCGCGTGCGTTGGCCGATGGAGTTCCCGACCGTGCTTGCAACCGATCAGGGGGAAAGAGTTGACCTGGTGCAGGTATGCCTAAGCGATGTTGAACTTAAGCTAGAACAGGGAATTCGCCGGTGGCAGGCATCCCTAGGATTTTGGAGCATCTCCCGCAATCTGCAGGGGAGACATGCTGGAGGAGAACTACGAAACATACTGTTGTAGCCATCAGGGACCAGGTAATTCTTGGCAGAAGAGGGGTTTTGAGGGCCTTGTGCGCTGCAGGTGTCTGGACTCTAGTTGGGCTCCATTCCATTCAGCTGCGCAGCGCGCCGGTCTGCTTTGTGTGCAAGAAAGAACATGCACAGAGGTGCACCAGTGGTTCGGATGTGAGGGTTTTTACCCAGTGGTAGTGACAGGCCGCCCGACGACGATTTGGAGCACAGGTCTGCCATGATAGAGTTAGCTAGACCAGCTTAATTCCAAGGACATGTTTTACCTGAACTGTGGGCTGCCGCCCCTGCCGCCATTCCCTGGGCAGGCTAAGGGTAGCTATGCTGTCTTGGGGTGAGGGGATTAGCGGGGCGAGTGGGGGCTGTCAGTGTTCACGGATGGGAGTGGCCAAGCTGTAGTGAGAGCTCTACCACTGGCGGCAGTAGGAACTATGTAGGGGCCGTAGTGTCCAATAGATCTGCGTTGGGATCTGCACTACTGGTTGAAATTGGTATAGGAATTGTGGTCGGAGCATACGCGAAAGTTGTAGTACTGGTTGCACTGGGAATAGTAGTTGTGACTGCGCTGTGATATGTAGTTGGAGGTGCAACCGAATCTCCACAAGGGACTGTAGCACGAGTTCTGGTAAAAGTTGTACTGCTGGCTGTAGTAGGAATACGTGTAGGAGTTGTAGGAGGAGTTGCTGTAGGAGGTGGGGTAGGACCTGCAGGGAGCTGTAGGAGGAGATGTCGTAGTAGATGTAGCGGAAGATGTTCTCCAGGCTGCAACAGAAATTGCAGTTAGCCGTGCCAAAGGAGCGTCATTCGTATTTGTGATGTGAGCATGCGACCGCATATGAGCAATCGGGTTTGTTGATCATTTGACAAAGCCCTCGACGCGGATATCCCACATGTGCATATATGTTCCTGGCGCTTCCGCTTGCGAATGTCAGAGCGGGAGGATCTTAACCCGTTGCGACTGAGCGATCCTTGACGGCACCCCTTTGAAGTGCCCACATGATATTCTGACTATATAGGGACGCGTTTTGGGCTCTGAAAGGAAAGGGGTCGGGGGTGCCTAAACCAGCGTTCCGTCTGACTCGCTCGAGACATCCTCACGACCTTGTTTGAAAGCAAAGACGTCCCAGCCACGAAACGAGCGCCTCGCTCGAGACACCCCCGCCTCTTGTACTGATTCCTTGGTGTTCGCATTCATCCCTGACTGTGCCCCGCAACCACGTCCGTTGACAGCGGCTGTGAGGACCGTCCAGCCTCGCGCAAAATTAGCAGATCCAGCACATATGAGCGCATGTGCACTTTCAGACGGCAGCCCATATTCTTTGCATTGCGGCAGTAGCATGGATGTGCGCGTCAAGCCCGTTTGGCATTTCCACCGTTTAGTATTTAGTACACGAGCTTTTGTTTCTCTCCC